TGTTCTGGGCTGTCACCTGTGGCCATATTGAGGTCTAAAGGATGTGCCGCTGCCAGGATTGTGCCAATCTGAGTGGTCTGAGCTGCTGCCTAGAGCCATGTCTAGGTCCTGTCTGGGTCCTGTCCAGGTCTTGTCTGGGTCAGTGACCCTACCACAGCCAGGGTCTGCATCAATGGCTTTGGATCCTGTTACCACCAAAGGCTCTGCAGATGCCTGGAATCTAAGCTAACATCTGAGACATGTTGGTTCCTAAGGGTCAGGCTGCCACGATGGCCATACATATCAGGGTAGCCTATATGGCCACCCAGGGCCATGGTGATGTCCAAACCTGAGCTGTGGCCGGGGGTCATGTCTGGGTCCATGACCCTACCACAGCCAGGGTCTGTGTTGATGTCCCTGGCTCCTGTTATCATTGAAGGCCGTGTAACTTCCTAAGGTATGGGCCACCATCTGAGGTCATGTTGGAGTCCAGGGACCACAATGCTGCCAGACCTATTCCTATCTAAGAAGTCTGTGCTGCCACCTGGGGACACAGTGACATTTGGGCCCAAGCTGCTGATGATGGCCATGTCTGGGTCTGTGGTCCTGATGCAACTGGAGTCTGCCCTGATGTCCATCCATTGCCTGTGTTAGCACAAGGGCCCATGCAAACCATGTGTTGAACCTTGTGTTGAAGAACAAGGGCCAGCGCTGAGCTGGCCCCACCCCTCAATGGCCCATGGAGAGTCATCCCCTCCCAACCAGAGAGTTGACCCTGCCCCTCACTGGCCCCCACCCTCATAAGAGAGCTGATCCCACCCCTCACCATGAGGGTGGGAGAGCTGGCTCTGACCCTCACCTGAGGAGGGTGGTCCCAGCAGCCCAGACTGACTAACTTAACTACTACCCAGACACACACCCAAGGCTTTGAGTTAGCACTCTCCAGCATCTACCCCATCTATGACCTGCCTGAGTGCATGAAGGGACTGGTCCTATGGAACCTTAGCCACAGGATCTCCATGACAACAGCAGGATATCAGAGAGGAGATCTGGTGAGGGTCCAGCATGGATAATGTACCAGAAGCCAGAGGCCTTGAACCTAACAACACATTACACAATGAACATTTGCAAGTAAATCTGTTTGGACAAAAGAGTATACTGCATGATACACAGTAGTTCCCAGTACCACCAAAACAAATCAAGAGGTGATGGAGAAGGGCTGGAGAGATGGCTCAGTGGTTAAGAGCACTGACTGTCCTTCCTGAGGACCTGGGTTCAGTTCCCAGCACCCACATGGCAGCTGACAACTGCCAGTAACTACAAGGTCTTAACACTCTCACGCAGACATGGATGATCAAAGAGGTTTGCTTGCTTGCTTGCTTTTTTTACTTGTTTGTTTTTGTTTTGTTTGTTTTAATATTATTTGTAATTTTTATTTATTTTATTTTTATTATTTCTTTTTAAGTTTTCCTTTGGGGAAGACACTACAAGGGTGAAGGGCGGATACAGAGGGTCTGGAAATGAGCAGGATTGGGATGTATGAAGTGAAATCCCAAAGAACCAATAAAAAATATACTAAAAAAAGATTTCTGTGGAGGAATGAACCATATGCACAAACAACTGGCCTGTGGCAGGGTGGGTGAAGCATGATAAGGGAGCTTCAGACAGCATAGGGACTTCAGATGAAAGAAAAAGATACTACCTAGGAGTGTCAGAGAGGCTTCAGGAGTCATGTTCCTTCCACCAGCTTTGTGAGCACCAATTATGGTGACTTTGCTTTCTACTCCTTGCTTCTGTGTTCACACTACATCCCATGAAACTTTCTGACCCTGTGCTAAGTCAAAACCCTGTTCAATCTAGGATTTCCTGGGAGAGAAGAGTAAGAAATGAACTGCTCTCCTCCTTTTCTCCCTGGGGCACAGATCAGTGTTTAAGTATTTCCAGTGGAGGGAGTTTGTTTCAAATACCCCAGAGATGCTGCATCAGGAAACCAGGGGCCAGCCAAGAAGTCTGCATGTTGGCCAGGCACCCCAAAATGATTTTGGCCCAATGGCCCATGACAGCACTTTGAGAGACCCACTCTGAACATCCTGGGCACTCTCTGTTCTGTTTCTTGCCGAAATGGCCATCTCTGTGTAGCTGACATGGAAAAACCCTCTTTGTCCCTTTATACTCAATTCAAACATGTCTTTCATTGGTATTTTGTACTCTGAGATGCAAACATAATTAATTGTTTCCATCTCAAGGGTACCAAAGGGCACTTATCAAACAGAGATGATATCTATTAGTAAGTTACAGAGTCAGTTGTGTGGGTTCAGTACAACCAAAGAATGTATAAGGTATTAGTTTTGTATGAACTTTGTTTCAGTTTTATAGAGCTGTATTTTGTGTGTGTGTGTGTGTGTGCATGTGCGCGCGCATGCGCGTGCACGTGAGTGTCTTCTTGTAAATATGAACATATACATACTATCAGTGTCACACTGAACCCCCTAGATTTCCATGGGGATTCAAATGCATATGTTTTACTAGAGAATTGTTCACTAAACTTATAAGGGACTTCTGGAAGTAGACTAAGGAGGAGAAAGAGAGGGAAGAGTGGAGTCTCAGGCAAAGTTTAGCTTTGGCCTGATCCCTCGGGGAAGTGTGGAAGTATAAGTCACATAGCAGAGTTGTCTTCTATGAGGCACAAGGGCTGGCCTGTTGCATTCTCACAGCCAGAAGTTGGCTATGAGCAGAGAGCCTTCCAGAGGAGGTGCCTACCACAAGCCAACAGAAATTCTTAAGGTAAGGGGGCACGTGTGATATTGGCACACAAAAGGGGTCCTGACATCATACCCGAAGTCTCTGCTAAAACCCACTCCTATGTATTCATACCATGCTCAGGGCCTAGTACAAAATAAAATGGTTGGGCCCTTGTACAGAATTCAGAGAGGGCATTAAATGTACTATCACTAAAATAGAAAGCTTTTACTTCTCCCATGGTTTTTCTTTCAACTTCAATGGTGTTATTTTATTGGCTTCAATGTGATTCTTACTAAAGATATATGAAAATTTAAATTACTAACATGAATTTTGTCATTCATCTTTGTATCATGTGATTGTTAATCTTAACTAGAAACATAAGAGCATTTTACTCATATAAGGAATCACCAAAATTACAAAATTTGTGTTTATATCTACATTGTCAGGTTGTGGTTATAGATACATGTATATTTCACATAGATTCATGTTTGACAAATAGGCTCACTTTAGTATCCCTCAGTTTAAGGGACCAGTGTGACAGTTTGTAGAGTGTCAAGATTGTCCAGACACTAAAGTATAGCATGATAGAAAGCAGAAGAATTAACACAGTCTTCTAGCAGACTGTGAACACACACTATCACTCATCTTAAGTGAACATGGGTGATAACTTTAGCAGTTGTACCATTATTTCTTGTCAGGGACCATCAGAATGGATATATACAGGGGTCTTTATTACAAGTAGGACAGTAAATTATTCATCTCCCAAACTGTATCTTAGGGTCTACTTAAACCAGTGAACTGTTTGATCCCAACTGTCTCAGGCCAGGTGCTGTAGCCACAGAACCTGAGCCATGATTCCACTGTGTGGGATTTAAATCAGCATGCTTTAGGAAAGCTCTTTCAGAGAGTAGAGAAAGAAAAGAGCAAAGTGCAGTGTTAAGATGAAGTCACAGATAAACAAGCATAGTTCAGTCCTCAGAGGAGCTCAGAAACATAATCTTCAGACAGAATTGTCCTGCTCCCTGAGACATCAGGCCAGCTCTTTCTAATCACCTCCCATATCTGTCAGTCATTGGCTATGGGCCTCTTCAAGGGTTGATGTGAGTTTAGAGAGAGGTGAAAGTGTAGTTTTTTAGATGGGAGATCACTTCAAGCTGTTAGCTGCAAATGGGACATGGGTGTACCACCAGGCAAAAGGATTCGGGGCAAGGGTTTCTTCTATACTGAAACTACTAAATATTCTTCAGATGTTTGAAAATCACTGCACAGGGACTTTAAATATACTTCTGATCTCTTGGAGCCTGATCTGATTGGACAGTTTCTTATTTATGTTTCTGTCTCCAGTGCAGGGCTCTGGTCTGCTCTGTGGCAGAGGCCCTGGCCTGTTCTTTGTATGCCCCATTCAGAGGCTGATGCTTAATTGTTACCAAACAAGCACTCACCAGCCAGAAAGCAGCTTGGAGTGGATCACAGAGCAACTTGAACTCCAGTCTAAATACTTTGAGTGTTATTCTGTTGGCAGTCAGGACTAGTTTGGAAGGCTTTGTTGGCAGCAGTGTGGAATATGGACAGGGCCAAGGACAGAAAGGAGAGAATAGCCAAGAGCTATTGCAGAAACACAGGCAAAATAACGAGAGGCAGATGTGAGCAGAGGCTATGAGTATGGTGGGAGATACAAAAAAAATTAATGAGTATTATCTCCAGGGCCCAGATGCCCCCTTGCTCATGTCCAGTATAGAGATTGACAGGGGTTAGAGTCTAGAAAGTGATTAGGAGTTTTGTGCTTACATGCCTTCAGGCAGATGGAAGAGGAGTGTTTATCATGCTTGGACAGAATGGAAATGGGGAAAATAAGTGCATTTCTGTTCTTTCATTTTAATGCACAATCAGACAGAATCTCTAAAATACACGCGGGAGTATTCTTTTCCCTCCATATTCTGGCAGAATTCCACAATTGTGAAAAAATAAGATTGTCTATATGAAATATACTCAGTTCATCAGCACATGGGTCACTTAAACTGAATAGCACCTGCTTTCAAGTTCATCCTTGAATGTAACACAGGTTCCAAGGCTGAAGCTTGAGCACATTATTCTCAGCTAGCCTCTGGACTGTATCCAAATAGTAATTTATCTGTGACCCAGAGAGATCATATACACACCAGGAAATCCTTTCTTTTTCTGAACTTCTCCAGGCCTTGGTTGTAAGGAAAGCAATTTATATTTTTCCCTGTGATTTTTGGCCAGGTATCTGCTTTTTGCCACTGTTTTGTGATACCCAGTTCCTGGGAACCCTGTTACATGAACTGGACATGGATTTGCCAGGGTTCTCCCTGGAGGTGGCCTGAGATTTCTTGTCAACAACTTTCCTTTTTCCATGGATTTCACCATAGCTGTTCACTATGAAGTCCAGGTATCCACTAACTCCTACCTCAGGGGGAGAAAGCAGGAACAACATATTCCTGAACTGTTTCCATATCTGCTTTGCTAGAAAAGGGTGACCATAAAACAACTTGAAAAAAGTAGCACATCTGGAAAGCATTATAAACCAAAGGGTTTCCTAAAGACGCTGGAGCTGCACCAAGAGCATGTGCACGAGCTCTTCATCCAGGAGAGAAGCTAGAAGCTGTTTGAGGGGCTAGGCTTAAGGAAGTAGCAGCTGAATGTTTGTGTAAGAATAATAAACAGCAAAAATAATATAAAGTCTTCCCTCGTGGGGCTTTTTCTCCAAAAGCAAGTACTAACCAACATGTGTGTAGAGATTTTCCACCAGAGGCATGTCAATAGAGGCTTTTGTTTGCATTCAAATCTTTCCCTGCAGCCAGAGACTCTAAGCAGATGGTCCCTCTCACTCCCTATTACCAAACTCTCCCCTCCTGAAGGAGAGCTGAGTAAGAATAGATGCCAATTAGAAAAAGAAGCTTCCAAAGATTTTCTAGCTGAGCTGACATCCAACCCTCTCCTTTCAACTATGTTTCCTGTGGGAGTGGTCTTAGAGGCCTCAAGATTCCTTGGGAGACCATATTCTGAAGGTAGTCATTGCACATCACATGACCAGAGCTGGTGAGCCAATGTGAGACTCTTGATAGGACATAGTTCTTATAAATCAAAGCCAAGGACTTTAAATGAACTTTGACCTGGTGAGCATAAAATCCATTTGAAAAGAGAATATATTTATTTGTTCATAGAATATCTCCCTAGCATCTCAAAACAAAACACAAAACTAACAGCAACAGCAACAAAATCTTTTTCAAATTGTAAGCCTTGCAAATGTAGCTAATTTTCCTATATGTCATCCTCCTTACCCTCCCCTTGTATGTGTAACATCTTTTGAAAGATTTCAATTTGTTATTTTTTGGCTCTGCAGTCCAGAGCCATAATGAACTGACCAAATCTTTTGGAGATGGGTTGATAATTAGACCTGTCAGAAAGGTGAGGGGTTTTCCCAGTCCCATGAGCTTTGTACAAGGAAAACAATGTTCTTCCTGCCTAGATCACAATCTACACATATGGGAGAAAGTCACTCTGACATTTTTCAATTCCAACACCATTCCAAGTGAACTAAAACGTGCAAATTCAACTCTGTGCACTATCCATAACAAGTGAGGTATATGAGGATATATAATATATGAGGATGGGGGAAATTGTTTATCCTTGGCCCGAGGTTTTTTGATTTCTTCCTGTCTAGGAAGCTGACTGGGCTATTCAGGTCATAGTCAATACCCCTAGAGGAAACAAGCACTGTACACATAAGAAGCTACAAGGATCAGCTCCAGCTTTTACTTTACCAGCTACTGCCAGGTATGGTATGCATGGAAGATCTCTAAGAGTGTGGACCATATATATGAACTTTGCAACCAAAGATAAGTAAACAGGGAAATAGAAACATCACAGGAGATGTCCCATTTATTGTGTGCACTTACTATGTGCTACTCAATATTACATTTCAATACTCCTAACAGCTCAGTGATGTAGTCTGTGTCTTTACCAGACAAAGAAAGAATTGAGAAGATTCTCCAGCACACAGTGGAGCCAGGATTGCGGCCCAGAGATAGCCTAACTCTAACTTCCTTTTCTGTTCCTCTGATGGCATGGATATGTGATAAACTCTATAAACCTGAAAGTCAATTGATTCTCGGTAGCTTAGAGACTAGGTGGAGAACATTACTGATGTTAAGACCTGTAGCTGGAGTTTTCCTGCCTGGCCCACAGTCAGGACAAATCTCTCTCACCCGCCAGTCCCACAGCCACTCAGACCCGACCAAGTAAACATAAAGACTTATATTGCTTACAAACTGTATGGCCATGGCAGGCTTCTTGCTAACTGTTCTTACAGCTTAAATTAATCCATTTCTATAAATCTATACCTTGCCACGTGGCTCGTGGCTTACCGGCATCTTCACATGCTGTTTGTCATCATGGCGGCTGGCAGTGTCTCTGACTCAGCCTTCCACTTCCCAGTTTTATTCTCCTCCTTGTCCCGCCTATACTTCCTCCTGCCTGACTACTGGCCAATCAGTGCTTTATTTACCAACCAATCAGAGCAACACATTTGCCATAAACACATTTGCCATACAGAACATCCCACAGCAAAGACCACTCATTTTTGCCTCGTCAGAGATGATAGCAAAATGGAAAGGAAATCCTATTGGTATAAACATGATAGCTAGGATAGAATGTATCAGTCCTATACTGTCTCCCAGGAAGCCATGTGAACCATGAACAATAGTTTCTAAGACTGTAATTCAGCACAATCATGGTAGAACCCAAGAGGATCCATGAATGTACTGTCCAAATGTTCCCCAACACCCTAGTGCTGGTGAAGATCTCAGCCTTGATTGAGTTCCACAATGAAGCACTTCACAGCTGAGGTGGGATCCTGCCAGGTAGTGTAGCCACTTAGATAATATCATTGTATTTTTATCACTGAACCTTTGCACTATTTCTTTTTTTTTTTTTTTGTTTGTTTGTTTGTTTGTTTGTTTTTCGAGACAGGGTTTCTCTGTGCAGCTTTGCGCCTTTCCTGGATCTCGCTCTCTAGACCAGGCTGGCCTCGAACTCACAAAGATCCACCTGCCTCTGCCTCCCAAGTGCTGGGATTAAAGGCGTGCGCCACCACCGCCCGGCGCACTATTTCTTTAGACATAGAATCATGTTGCTTCTCACACCAGTCTATTTAGAAGCAGATGTGCCATATTCCATAGACCTCTATTTTCTCAGCCTTTGGAAGGAGAGTCCCACGCTCATTCTCAAATCTTGGTTGTTCTGTATCTGAACAAAATGCTATTACAATGCTACTTTCAAACTCTAGTAGATTATTTATTTAATAGTAGAAATGTATCTGCTTAATTATTCCAACCACCAAATAGCTAACATAAATTGCATACTACAGTATGTCCTAGTAATGGCATAAAGTGTTTTATTTGTGGATAAAATTCAAATTGATTGGTTAAAATTGCTTGTTGAGCATGCCAGCTAAGCCTTTTCATTTTCACAATCCTCTTCAAGCTGGTGTAGTACCTACTTCTCAGGAGTGGCTCTGTGCAACACTTATTGACCTCCTGAAATTCATTTACCCCCCCTTTGAAGATACCTTAAAATTTATGAGCCTGAATGTAGCCATTATGAGACCATTAGTTCTGCTCCTTATGAGCTGCCTGTTTTTTCTTTATGGTTCTTAGTTGTTCTTTTGCAGAGCTGCCAGCTTAAGTCGTACTGGGATGAAGAAAAATGGGCCTTGGCAGTTCGTGTTCCTGGAGTTGTATCCATGCCAGTGGATGCCCACATGCTCCAGAAGAGAATTTGACATTGCTGCTGCTGTTGTTGCTGTTATAGCAGTGACGGCCACCGCTGCTACTGTTTCTGGGATTACCATTTCATAATTGGTTACTATAGCTAGCACAGTGGAGACCCTGGCAGCAAAAGTAGCTACCACAGTTAGTTAATCTTTCATTCTATTGGGCATGATAAATTTAATTCAATAGTTATATACATTTTGATTGGCTTTGAAAATTATAAATTTATAAACTCAAGTTCCATTTACTTTTGGGATACCATCTTACAAAGACTCCAATTTGCAGTAAGGCTCGTTAAGGAAGGGAATGGCTCAGTTGCCTTTAGCCTACTGGCTATGGGTGGGTTAGGACTTCTGTTGGTCTTTTCTGTGTTAACACACAGATTGCAAGCCCAGCGCCACTTTGAGATCTTTGGCAGCAGTTAACTCTGCAACTCACACAGGATTGAACCTATATGATAATGAGTATTCAGAGACGGGTAATGCGGGGGGGGGGGGTGCGGGGAGGCGCTCACCAACCTAAGACAGAGCGCCTGTGTGGCCTGGACAGGTGTCTCCATGACGGGTAAGGTGACCTGCTTACATCCCACACAACCTAAGTCAGAAGCTCATTTTTTAGTAAAAGGGGGACCTGTAGGGCCCTGGCCCCCATTTTGGGCAACTGTTTCCTTGCTTACTGACCTTGACCTTGATACCCTCCCTATGTTAATTCCCTGCTGGGTTCCACCCTCCTGAATGCGTAAGGGAAGTTCCTTGTCTGTATATCCTGCATAATGGGCATTAACAGCTTAGATGCAAGATTGTAAAATATGGTAGCAAACTTCTGCCTTCTGGGGTTCTCCCATTGTACTGTAAGCCTGTATTAAAGACCTCCTTTAATAAACGACATTTGGCATTTAAAAAAAATGCTTGTTGAATATTTGTGGGAATATTCTAATTTATTTAATATTTAACTATCATGCTGGCCCTAGAGAGTTTTGTCAGAACATACTTAGGCCCAGCAGTTTATATATTGCCTATATTTGCTTCTTGACTGAAAGACAGAGTTGAGGGTTTTCATAGAGAACTTATGACCTTAAAGCCAAAAATAATCACTATCCTGCCATTTTCAGGCAGCTTGTTAACCCTGAGTTAATGAGTTATATACTTACGTTTATAAGTTATACCTTAAAATTTCAATTTTATTCTATCAAATACATAAAGTTTACAGTCTATGAGCTCAGTTGTATTTCTACTTACACAGAAAACTCAAGCATACATATTTTGAATGTCATTTGAAGGAGTTCCAGCCATCATTACCACAAAGCATTGTTTAGGAACCATTTAACTACAATAGGGTGGCAAGATCTCTTAAGAAGAAGGAAGGAAGGAGGGAGGCAGAGAGCTGTACCCAGTTAAATTTTAGTTTCAAGAACAACAAATAAAATTTAGTGTATGTCTCAAATGTTATAATAGATATAATTAAAAATAATATAAAATATTCAGTTTCTCTGACATTTAATTTTACCTGGGTGATCTGGCCACCTGAGAACAAACTGGTTCAGGCTTGCAGGCAGAGTTGTTTCATAGTTGATGTGCGGTTCTGCTGTATTGTGGTAGAAACTAACTCTCAACTGCAAAATTCAAACAATAATGCTTTTCCTGCCCATAAAAAATCTATCTTTTCCTCTGCCGAATGTTACCAAGAACTGTGCCTATAAACCAGACCATGAGTTATAAAAAGGAAGAAAATCCAATCTAAAAGATTGAATCCAGGTTGGAGAAATGTCTCAGTGATTAAGAATGCCTACTGCCCTATCACAGGACCAGAGTTCAGATTCTAACACCTATATGTGGCTGTTTACAACCACCGTAACTCCAGCTTCAAGATTTCCCTACTCTCCCTTTGGATTTCCATGAACAAACAACAAGTACATGCACACATGCACACACACACACACACAGAGAGAGAGAGAGAGAGAGAGAGAGAGAGAGAGAGAGAGAGAGAGGCGCACATGCACACACACATACATGGGAGGACATAAATAAAATAAATATTAAAAATAAAATTTAGAAGTAATAACTCTAAGGGAAGTAAAAAAGAGAATGGGGGAAAACTAATGAAGTTGTAGACCTCTAAAGGTTATTATTAATAACAATCATGATAATAAAATTTATTCAAATCCATATCCTGTATGTCTCTAATTGTGACTATAACATATATTATAATAGATGATTCGTCCTCTGAATGTGTTGTTCCTGGATGTAAAATACAGTTCTTACTCTCAAAGAGTTCTCAGTTCAAGACAAGAGATATATATGACATTATTAAAAATATATTGGATCAATGCAGTAAGTAGCTAGTTTGAAATTAATTTTATAATATATTCATTTGATCAGTTTTAAAGTAATCATTTTTTTTTTGCATCTAGCTATGGAAACCCTGGGCCATGAACCAAAATTAAGAGAGCAGCTTGCCTTGGTCAGCTCTCAACAACACCAGAAGTTCTCAATCTGTATTTTAGGCTGGGACAGAGATTCAAGTGCATGTGATTTATTGAGAATATGAATCTGGAAAACTGAGGAGTGAGAAAGATGAGAGGAGAGAGCAAGGAGGCAGGATACAATTTCAAGTACAGTGTGACTTCTGTCTTGTCCCACAGGGTATGCTGGAGCATTTGCTCCAGAGCTAAATCTACCTAGAAGCAAGGGAGTAGTTCCAAACATGCCATGTCATTGTCACCTCTGCCACTGAGTACGTAAGTCCTTCATGTGGGGGTATTTTACTTGTACTGAAATGTGATTTTAATTGTATGTTAATAAATAAAGTTGCCTGGGGGTCAGAGCTATTAGAGCCATAGCAAGTGCGTGGAGGCGGTGGCGCACGCCTTTAAGGACCTGGAGAGCAGTACATACAGGCAGTGACGAGGCAGTCACATGTTTGGGTTTACAACCAATGAGAAGGCAAAACAGCTAGACTATATAAAGACATACACACAGGAAGTAGGTCCCTTTCGGATAGCTCTCTTGGCTGAAGAGGATCGCTGAATCAGGAAGGCTGAGGCTCTTAGCTCTGACCTCTTGGCTTTCTTCTCTGAATCGGCTCTGTGTTTCTTATTTAATAAGACGGTTGGTTACATCTACACCCTCACCCACATGGCTGACTGTTATTTTGTAAAGAAGATAGCTATGAGCCTTTAGGAGTCAATACCACAGCAGCTGCAGGGCAAGAATAACAGTCTACCAAAACAGGATCCAGGCTGGGTACCACGTGTCCACTGTAGTCCCTGACTCAGAATGTCTAGAGGAGTAAGGTCCTTGCACATTTCATTATTGCATCCTAATGAGCTTAATATCATACTACCAACTTCACTGTTCTACGAAGAGAGAATTAATCATACAAAACTTGGATATTCCTAAGTCTCTGTGTGGCTCTCCTCAGCCACATTACCATTTGCATCTGTCTTAGTTTGCTGTGATAAAACACCATAACCAAAAACTGCTTAGAAAGAGCATGGTTTATTTAGTTTTTATGTCCTGATCACAGTCTATCATGAAGTGAAGGAAGTCAGGGCAGAAACTCAAGGTTGGAACCTGGAAGCAGGAACTGAAGCAGAGGCGATGGAGGAGTGCTACTTACTGGCTTATTCCTCATGGCTTACTCCACTTACTTACTTTTTTATACAGCCCAGAACCACCTGGCCAGGGTGGTACCACTCACAATGACCTGGGCCTTTTCACATCAATCATTGATAAAAATGCTCACAGACCTGTGCATAGGCCAATGTGGTGACATTTTCTCTATTGAGGTTCCCTCTTCCCAGATGCCCCTAGATTATGTTGGGTTGATAAAAAAAACATAATCAGCAACACATCTAAGAGTAAATCACAGGAAAAGAAGATCAAGTGATCTTCCTTTGTGCTACTTTGCACAAATGCATTTGTCGGGCATAGCAAAGCAGTTAAGATTTATTTCACTTACCCAGATTATATGATACGTGTTTCCATAAAACTATGTTAGAGTCAATAGTTTGTTAGGCATTCTACAACATCAAGCTGCCATTCTCCGTTTTAAACCCTAGAACAGATTATATTTGGTAAATGTAAATCTTTAGATATTTCTTCAAGAAGTGAGTCAAGCATTGCAGAATCATAAACTGACAAGGACTGTTGTCATTTGGTCCACATGCTTGTTTCCATCAGTGGCCAACTAGGAACTGACTCACACTCATAGCTGTCAACTCATCACTGGTTATCTAACCTTATTCCTAGTCCTGAAGCTTCTAGCTGTTTTCTGTGTCTCTTCCCACCTGGTTTGTGTTTGGAGAATCCAGCCTTTTTATATTCAATTTAAAGATACAATGGTAGAATAGAAATATGCTTTATGGAATGATGTTTTATGAAGCACTTACTATAAGTTAGTTAGTAGTAGAAACAACTCTGGGGCTTACTCTCTGATGGGAAGATGTAGACAGGCAAACAGCATGGAATATGTCTTAGCTACTTTTCTTGTTGCTGTGATAAAATACCTTGACAAAAGCAATTAAGGAAGAAGGGTTTATTGTGACTCACAGTTCAAGGATACAGTCCACCATAGTGGAGAAGGCCTGGTAGTAAGAACTTGTGTCACATTGTCTGCAGTCAGAAAGCAGAGCAGTGGATTCGTGTGCTTAACTCCCTTTCTCCAGACTACAGTCCAGGATCTCAGTCCAGGACATGATGCCACCTGCAGTGGGTGGATCTTCTCACCTCAATTAACTTTATCAAGATAATCACCTACAAGTATGCCCAGAGATCTGTCTCTCAGGTGGTTCTAGATGTCAACAAAGTGACAGATGAGATTAACCATCACAGGATATGAGATCCTGAGAGTTAGTGTGCTAGTACATAGACATAATGTTTGGGGGCTATAATGAAGCAGCCCATCAGGACAAGGAGTTGTGATGGAACAATGATACCCACCTCATGGCAGGGATGGAAAACAGGAAAAGAAATTACCAGGGTAATTATCCTCTTTGAGGGCATACTTCCAATGACCAAGATGCTCTATACCTCTTAAAGTTTCTACCACCTCTCAATGGAACTACTGGAGAGAATAAAACTTCAATATATAGACCTTTGCAGAACACTTAAGACCCATATCATGGCACTTCATTTTTACTACACATTTTTTAACATTCTTTGAAGTGAAATGAATAGTTACTATAGCCCATCTGCATACATAACTTCCAAGTATAGAAAAGTAGCAAAAGTATAAAGAGTTAGCTATACTCTAGATACATTTAAGATGAGGAGCATCACTGAACAACAGCATCAAGGATAATCAATGCTTTCTTCATTCAGAGCTTGGTAGATGACAACATTATTTAGTAACACAACAGATTGGAGATGCTAGTGATCTGATGCAGTCATCCAGGAGGGAGATTCTATACATGATATGCACAGAAAGGAAAGCAGGTTTGGATGTGCTTAGGTTTTGGTGCTTGTGGGACAACCAATAAGTAATTGTGTAAGAGATGTAAGTTAAAATCCAGCTACCTATACACTATAACCCAATGTTGCCAAGGGCACTGAGGAAGTGACTGTGAAGTAAGGGAAGGGGGGTTAGTGTGAGAACCCTGAATAATGAATACATGTAAGGATGGAAGAGAGAGATACTTTATTAGTGTAAAGTAAATCAGGGTGGCAAGAAAACAAGTTTCCAAGATATCTTGCTGTCCAGATGTCAAGGAGCAGAGATGGGGTAATGGCGGGAGAAATTGTAAAATCAGAAGGTGATTTGGTAGATGAGAGAGTTGTAAGCACATTTAGGAGTCAGCGGAGAGGAAGAGGTGAATCAGGTGGTGGTAGAGATGGCAGCATGACCATCTTCCACTGCAAATTTCCCTTTGTAAGCTTGAAGAGTCAAAAATAGTGACATGCTTGAGCTGGAGTTTTGAAGGTAGGAAGTAAGAGGTGCTGTGGGATGTTCTGTATGGCAAATGTGTTGCTGATTAGTCAATAAATAAAACACTGATTGGCCATTGGCTAGGCAGGAAGTGTAGGCGGGACAAGGAGGAGAATAAAGCTGGGAAGTGGAAGGCTGAGTCAGAGAGACACTGCCAGCCACAAAGGATGACAAACAGCATGTGAAGATGCCGGTAAGCCACGAGCCACATGGCAAGGTATAGATTTATAGAAATGGATTAATTTAAGCTGTAAGAACAGTTACCAAGAAGCCTGCCATGGCCATACAGTTTGTAAGCAATATAAGTCTCTGTGTTTACTTGGTCGGATCTGAGCGGCTGTGGGACTGGCAGGTGAGAAAGATTTGTCCTGACTGTGGGCCAGGCAGGAAAACTCAAGCAACAAAGAGGTCCTCACTCTTGCTGGTCTCTCTTTTCTATGAAGAGGAATAAGAGGCCACATTCTATATGGAGTGCAGAGGTGGTAACATAACAGGTAGGAGAGGCTAACAATCTGATGCAGTCATGCAGGAGGGAGATTCTATGCATGGGTGTATCAAAGGTCCATGAGGGAAAGACTAGAAAAGGTTGAGGTATGAGCTATGAAGACTGGCTTCAGAATGTACGAAGCAGAGAAGGCCAGGAGAGATATATCTATTATTTAGTTTTTTAGTTCTTTGACAATTAAGTACATGTGTATACTGAATTTCCATTCAGTTTTACCCCTCTCCATTACCTTCCCTCATCTCTCTTCTCATGAAATAAATCTTCTCAACAAGCCCCTTCTACTTTGATCTTTCATTTTGTTTTGTTTTACTCACTAGGAAACATTGTCTAGGCCGTGATTTCTTCACTTTCAAGTAGTCTAGTTCAAATCCAAGCCAGGCATATTGGCACATCAGTAAGTCCAGCACTTGGGAAGTAAGGTAGCCAGATCACAAGGTCAATGCCAGCCTACACTACCCAGCAAGGTCCAATCTCAAAGAACTAAAAATAAACAAAACAAAGCAAATGACAAATTTATTAGTAAGTAAAAATATAACAGAAACAAATCAACAAGAATTTCTTTTGCCATGATGGATCAGTAACTCTAAACACCTAAAGACTGATTAAGTAACTGAAGATCATAAAATTATAAAAGTCCTAGACAATTTGAAAGATTGGGCTGAGTGTCTTTTTGAGCCACTATTCTGAAATTTATGTGGTGAGACTTTTAGATAGTAAAGTTTGAACATGCATCTTCTTTTCTCATTATCTCAAAAATTTGGCCTCATTCCCCACACCAATTCACTGAGGATTTCTCAGTGAGCAGGATGTAGCTGAATATGAGCTGCAAAACTGTGTTGAAATGGCCTCAGGGTGGGACCTTAAGTGCTCCCAGTGGTGTGTAAAAGGCCCTTGGTCAGCATGTCTGCACAGCTGCACAATGGGGTCATGGGTAAGTGTCCTTCTATATAGCTCTTCTGAGGCACCATGAGCCTGCAAATGCTTTTTGGAATGTAAGCTAATAGATAAATTTTAGCATCCACTCTAAACAACAACATACCCATCAGCCAATAATTAGATGATGCCCATGGTGGTCTCCTGGCATGGTAGAATCAGATGCTTCAGTATGGTAAGTACACGATGAGGAACTTCACTGCAGGAATTAGAATGATCCTGCTGGGGAAATGGTCCAAAACATGCATTTGGAATCCTAGAATTTTAGGGCGAGAATGAACTCTAACCATGGTGTTTCTCTAGTAATAGATAATGGTGTAAAGGTAAAAAAAAAAAAATTACATAATCTGTCACTTGCTTAACTATAGCTCTACTCAGATTTGGAACTGGATAATTCTTTGTGTGAAGGTAGGGGAGTTTGTCTTTGCACAACAGGATTTTTTACCTCATCTATGCCCCTCCAGGTGTCAGCATCACTCTCCTCAAATTGTGACATCAAAAAAAAATGCGTCCTAATTTTGTCAAATGTTTCCTAAAAAGTGAGATCAGCTTGAAATTGAGAACTCATGCTATACACTGACAGGTATGTTGAGGGCCACTGTCTCATAAAATGCATGGAATAGAGGCAATAAAAAGCTTCTTTCTGTATGTGTTAGTTTTTAGCACTGTAATGAATTTCTGAAAGAAATAACTTGAAAAGCAGGAAGTTATTTTGGTTTATGGTTTCAGTTCATAGTTAACTGGCTCCATTTTTTCTGGGCCTGGGATAAAACAGACCAAAATGCACAAGGGTGACATAGCAGAGTTACTTGTTTTGTGGTGGCCAGAAATTAGAGAAAGACAAGGAAGGGACCAGGGAAAAGTTACACCTTTCCAAGTCACACTCCCAGTATTTATTTACTCCAGCCAAACCCTACCTCCTAATTTCTAACACCTCCCAAAGCTGTAATCAAATTATACATTCACCAATGGATTAATTCACTGCTGAAGGCAGAGCCTCAGGATCCAATGATCACTTCTCAAAATCCTCACCTCTTAAAAACTCTGCAATGGGAATCAAGACTTCAGCATGTAAGCCTATGTGGGATACCTCAAATCTATAACATTAATGTATGTCTCTGCCCCCATACACATCAACAACTTAAGGTATAATGACTCCAAGAGTACAAGTAATGAGTCATTTAAAGCAGCTTGTGTTGTCTTTCATTAGCTTGTTCAGTAATGTTCATTGAAACATGCCAAACACTGTTTTAAGTACCACACAGGCAATATTGCCTTCGAGTAGTACTACAGCTCCATGTTCTCCCATGTGAAAATCCTGAGTTATCACCATTTGTAGTAGGACACACCCATAGGTTCAAGGAAATTGGCTCAAACCAGTTGCCAAGGCATGCATATAACATACTTCCTTATGAGCCGACCTGGACTGTGCCTGGGGGCCTAGCAACAGGCATTGTCAGAGTTCCTGATCATGCCCATTCAATGAGGGATGATCACACAATGTCACCAGATTGGGACACAGCTTGAGTGCTGGGAGGAGGGTATATAAGGCCTTCACCATTATTGAATAAAGGAGTTTGTTATTTGCCTTCAACTGACTGACTCCCATTGTCTGTGTCGTTGACATTGCACCTTCTCACCCCCTTCCCCAAGAGAGCCATTAGGATCCAGCAGCAACCATCTAACAGTTGAGACAGATTAGAGGGATACCAAATGAAGGAGACAGGAACTAAGCCACTAAGGATCAAGGTACTTCTCTGCCCACCCTCACCAAATCTCCCTTCCTCTGTCCCCTGAAGCCTGCCAGTGCCACTCACTCTCATGGTGAACTGGGTACAGTTGCAGCCCATTTGGAGGCCAGTGTCAGTGTAAACTCATGTTGTGGAGCACTGCTATGACAGGTGCTCAGCTGGAAGGTACAATTTGGAGTGTCATGGCTGACATGGTACGTGGCAAAAAAAACTACAAAGGAAAACTTGGTGATTTCACAATGTTGGTGTTTTAAAGGTAGGCAAGAGGATGTGTGAGGTTTTAAAGGGGAGAATACTAAGAATTTTACTATTATTATACTTCTTTTTTTTTATTTTTTTCAAGACAGGGTTTCTCTATGTAGTTTTGGTGCCTGTCTTGGATCTCACTCTGTAGACCAGACTGGCCTTGAACTCACAGAGATCCATCTGGTTCTGCCTCCTGAGTGCTGGGTTTTCAGGTATGTGTCACCACTGCCTGGTGTATTATTATTCTGTTATTCAGGCTTCATGTACATAAAATATCCTGAGCTGTTTCCTACCATGCTTTGTTCATCCACAGATAAATGGACACAAACTATATGGAGCTCTATTAGGGACTTATAAGGGATGGACAAAGATAGCCAATGCTTCTGGGAGTTTGCAGTACAAACTAGTTGTCTTAATTAGTGTTTCTATTGCTGTGAAGAGACATCATGATGATGTCCTTATAAAGGAAAACATTTAATTGTAGAGGCTCACTTAAGTTTCAGAGGTTTAGTTCATTATCCTCATGGCAGGAAGCAAGGCAGTATGCAAGCAGACATGGTGCTAGAAAAGGAGCTGAAAGTTCTTACATCTTGACTCACAGGCAATAGGAAGTGATATGTCTCACTGGGCATGGCTTGAACATATATGAGACCTCAAAACCTGCCTCCACAGTGACACACTTCCTCCAATAAGACCACACCTACTCCCACAAGGGCACACCTCCCAATAGTGCCACATCCATTTGGGCCATTTTCTTTCAAATCACAAGAGTAAACAGAAAAGGGTTTCAGGGAAAATGGAAATACCAAGCAAGCAGTTGTGCACTACAGCTTTATGTCCTAACCTATAAAGCCAGTGTCTAGATAGCCTTACTCAACTACAAGAAGAAAGGGACAAAACTGTCACTACAGAAAGATATCTAAGCCAGGCGGTGGTGGCACGCCTTTAATCCCAGCACTTGGGAGGCAGAGGCAGGCGGATCTCTGTGAGTTTGAGGCCAGCCTGGTCTACAAATCGAGTTCTAGGACAGGCTCCAAAGCTACACAGAGAAACCCTGTCTCGAAAAACCAAAAAAAAAAAAAAAAAAAAAAAAGATTTCTGCCACTGAAGATATTACCCTTTTCTGATGTTAGGGTCACAAACAGCTTTTCAGTTCATTTTATAAGGCATTCATTAACAAGGACTTAAATGGAGCTCTGTCAATGATAATTCAGTTCCCATTGTTGTCATATCTATGTATTTAACTCTCTGTCCACAATGGAAACATTAGTAAGAACAGTGCTCCGTACAGATACCTACCTGAGGAGCCATGAAACCTACAGGTCAGCCAATTCTTCTTTCAAGTAGAGACCATGTCTTCTCTGTCATGGTCCTCAGAAGTGGCTTCTTCCCAGCTAGAAAGTGGGCCTGGCTGCCTATTGAGCTAACAGTATTTAACTAGGTTACTACTGCTTCTACCTCCTTTCTCCTTCTCCCCTTCTAAGTTACAAAGTGTTTAGGATACACAAAGAGATGGTCTCATAGGAACAAATATGCTCCTATCAAAATAGTCATCACATCTTTGTATAGAGAAGATGAGCTAAGGGAGTTGAGCAATGCAACCAGACTGAGTCTCTTCTACCTCATCTGGGAAAAAGGAAAATCTGGCCACTCTGATAAGGGTTCTTATGTTTTTACTACCTCCAAGTTACATTTTGACCCACCATATATATGGAAGCTTGAGTCTTTGAAAATGTATTGTTTGTTCAGTTTCTTTGCACAAGCTAACATAAAGCCCAGTTGTCCATAACCTGCTATTTATTAAATGAATCAATAAATTGTTAGTTACCAAACATTTGCCTGGCACTCATTAATGTCAGGCTTTTTCTACATACATATCACACCTCCTTTGTTGACTTGAGTTAGGACTGGGACTCCAGAATCAGAGCTGGAGTTATTTCATCACACAACTTGTCCCACCCCAGCATAATTCTCTTTGCTTTACCCAGCATACCATCCCCAAGGCTCTAAGAACACTATATGTGACCAAATAACTGGCCTGTGCCCCTGCCTCGGAGAGTTGACTGGCCACCATTGTGACCAGTACCTGGTGGGCTACTTCGGGTTCCCCAGCTGCTTCCCTTGCCCTTATAATGAGTTTACTGAACTTTATGATCCAGACACAGAGTCATGTGTTAATTGTGGAGGCTTTACAACTTGTATCAACTGTGAAAGATATAGAATTCTCGAGCATTTTCATTTTAATTCTCGAGCAGTGGAAGACCTTTGAGTGAAGGCACAACAGTATTTAGGTGTAGAATGATGGCTGTGCATGGGAAGGTTATTGTTCTATCCATCCTTCAAAATCACCCTGTAAGTCAGAAAATGTCTGATTAAATCAGTAAATAACTCATGCCTGGCCCGTTGCATCTATATTCCCCAGAGATGACAACATATATCACAAAGTGCTATTACACTGAGTTTAAAAGGCATGTCTTAGAGACTTTCAATATACTTTTTAAAATCCTTATGGAGTAATTGAACATCTAAAACACTGAGTTTTGAGAGATACATTGTCCTAAAGCATACAAATCCACATTGGTTAACACATAAGCTTTTCCTGAGATTATTTGAATAAAAAGGAAATTACCTTGACAGTTGTGTCAATGAAATTACTATGAAAATCCTTCTTTAGGACAATCCTGTTGTCCTTGCCTGTGTCCAGTTGTTCCCTTAAGCAATGAGTATTTTACTCATTCCTGTTACCAGAACTCTTGGAGCTCAGGTATAACCTGTCGCATTCAAGGTGTTTGGGAAGATCAAAGTGAATTGAAGGTTTGTACCTGCTGGGATGCTTCAACAAAGCCTGTGCTGCATAGTGGATCCTTCAAAGAACTTGTACATGAGACTTTTCAAAAGCCTTTTTCTCAGTTTGTTAGATGCTACCAGTGTCTACCTCTAACAGCAGCTTTTTTGTTCCAGGGTCCTACCATCCTCCTGGAGTGAGATCAATTGCATACCCTCCTAATTGGGAGAGCTTGCCTCTATAACCCTGTCACTGGAGCATGTTCTTGTCTGCCACATGTCACAGACCTGCCTGTGACCATTGTGCTGATGGATACTAGAATCTGATCCCTGGCAAATGGTGTCAGTCATGTGACTATGGCCTCTAGACCTCTAAAAGCAGCCTCTGTGACCAGGCAAGACACTTTGAAACTTTCTAGTATACTAGGAATAAGAATGGATGGTGAAGCATATTTTCCAGTTTTGAGGACAGTATTTTATTTATGTGCTGTAGAGAATTAGTGGTTCTAAACCTGACTGGCTTTAAACATGATAGAGTTGATACTTATTTTCCCACCCTTCTCACTTTTTCACACACATAATCACAGGCAAGACCCAGGAAATAATTATTAATCAGAAGTTATTGTTAATAAGAATGAAAATAAATAGATAATTCCAGATGTACAGTACCATTCTTTATTAAGAAGTAAAGCAAAGGATAACCAGACTACAACCCAAGAAGCTAGCTAACAAGGATGAAACTAAAAGGGACACATGGATTACCCTGAGAAGGGGAAATAGATGAGATCTCCATGAGTAAACTGGAGATGAGGGGGAGCAATGGAGGGTAGGGGATGAGGGATGAGAGCATTAGGGAAAGGGATGGTCAAGCAGGGGGAGAAACAGAATGGGAGAGCAATGAAAGAGATATCTTGATAGAGGGTGACATCATGAGGGAAGTTCCCAGAAATCCACAGGGATGACCCCAGCTTAGACTACTAGCAATAGTGGAGAGGATGCCTGGACTTGCCTTCCCCAGTGATCAGATTGGTGAAAGCCCTGTAATCACAGAGCCGTCATCTATGAATGAATAAAAAAATTCTTAAAAAAAAAAGAAAGGAAGGAAGGAAGGAAGGAAGGAAGAAAGAAAGAAAGAAAGAAAAAAGAAAGAAAGAAAGAAAGATTTCCCTCATTATCCACAGTAATATAGGGCCCTTACAAAGGATCTCATGCTGGGCGGTGGTGGTGCACATCTTTAATCCCAGCACCCAGGAGGCAGAGGCAGGCAGATCTCTGTGAGTTCAAGGCCAGCTTGGACTACAGAGTGAGTTCCAGGAAAGGCGCAAAGCTACACAGAGAAACCCTGTCTCGAAAAACAAAAACAAAAAGAATAAAAAGGATCTCATGGTGCCACCCATCACATCACACTCTACCATGGTATCACATTTTAACATTGCTACTGGCCTAGTATTATTTAAAGAAAAGAAAGAAATTTTTTATTCATTTTACATACCAACCACAGCTCTCCCTCTCATCTCTCCTCCTGCTCCCTGACCCCAGCCTTCCCCAGCAGCCTACCCCCATCCCCTCCTCTGAAAAGGTAAGGCCTCCCATGGGGAGTCAGCAGAGCCGGGTACATTCAGTTCAGGCCAGTCCAAGCCTCTCCTCCTGCATCAAGACTGTGCAAGGTATCCCACCACAGGTAATGGGCTCCAAAAAGCCAGTTCATGCACAAGGGATAGATCCTATTCCCACTGCCAGTGGCCCCTTAAACAGACTAAGCTACACAACTGTCTCACTTATGCAGAGGGCCTAGTCCAGTCCCATGCAAGTTCCACAGTTGTTGGCCTAAAGATCATAAGTTCCCACTAGCTTGGTTTGGTTGTATCTGTAAGTTTTCCCATCATGATCTTGATGCCCCTTGCTCATAAAACCCCTCTTCTCTCTCTTTGACTGGACTCTGGAGCTCAGCCTGGTGCTTGGCTGTGGATCCCTGCATCTGGTTTCATCAGTTACTGGATGAGGGCTCTATGATGACAGGATATTCACCAATCTGATTACTGAGGTAGACCAGCTCAGGCATCCTCTCCACTATTGCTAGTAGTATAAGCTGGGGTCATCCTTGTTAGCTAACGTCTCTGAGGCTGTGGGTGATAGTCTGGTTATCCTTTGCTTTACATCTAGTATCCACTTATAAGTGACTACATACCATGTTTGTCTTTCTGAGTCTGGGTTACCTCACTCAGCATGATATTTTCTAGTTCCATCCATTTGCCTGAAAATTTCATGATGTCATTGATTTTGTGTATATGTACCACATTTTCTTTATCCATTCTTCAGTTGAGGGGCATCTAGATTGATTCCAGGTTTTAGCTATTATGAATATTGCTGCTTATGAATATAGTTGAGCATGTGTCTTTGTGGTATGATTGAGCATTCCTTGGGTATATGCCCAAGAGTGGTATTGCTGGGTCTTGAGGTAGATTGATTCCCAATTTTCTGAGAAACTGCCATACTGATTTCCAAAGTGGCTGTACAAGTTTGCACTCCCACTAACAGTGGAGGAGTGTTCCCCTTGCTCCACATCCTCTCCACCATAAACTGTCATTAGTGTTTTTGATCTTAGCCATTCTGAGAGGTGTAAGATGGTATCTCAGAATCATTTTGATTTGCATTTCCCTGATGACTAAGGATGTTGAGCAATTTTTTAAATGTCTTTCAGCCATTTGAGCTTCTTCTGTTGAGAATTCTCTGTTTAGCTTTATAGCCCATTTTTTCACTGGATTGTTTGTATTTTGATGTCTAGTTTCTTGAGCCCTTTATATATTTTGGAGATCAGCCTTCTGTGAGATATGGGGTTGGTGAAGATCTTTTCCCATTCTGTAGGCTGCCCTTTTGTCTTATTTACCGTGTCCTTTGCCTTAGAGAAGCTTCTCAGTTTCAGGAGGTCCCATTTATAAATTGTTTCTCTCAGTGTCTGTGCTACTGATGTTATATTTAAAAAGTGGTCTCCTGTGCCAATGCATTCAAGGCTACTTCCTACTTTCTCTTATATCAGGTTCAGTGTAATTGGACTTATGTTGAGGTCTTTGATCCACTTGGACTTGAGTTTTGTATATGGTGATAGATATGGATCTATTTGCAATCTTCTGCATGTTGACATCCAGTTATGCCAGCACCATTTGTTGAAGATGCTTTCTTTTTTCCATTGTACAGTCTTGGCTTCTTTGTCAAAAATCAGGTGTTCATAGGTGTGTGGATTAATGTCAGGGTCTTCAATTCAATTCCTTTGGTCCACATGTCAGTTTTTATGCCAATACCAAGCTATTTTTTAGACTATAGCTCTAGAGTAGAGCTCGAAGTCAGGGATGGTGATGCCTCCAGAGGTGGCTTTATTGTACAGGATTCTTTTAGCTACCCTGGGTTTTTTTTTTTCATATGAAGTTGAGTATTGTTTTTCAGAGATCTGTGAAGAATTGTGTTGGGATTTTGATGGGGATTGCATTGAATCTGTAGATTGCTTTTGGTAAGATTGACATTTTTATTATGTTGATTCTACCTATCCATGAGCATGGGAGTCTTTCCCTTTTCTGATATCTTCTTCAGTTTCTTTCTTTAGAGACTTAAAGTTCTTGTCATACAGGTCCTTCACTTGCTTAGTTAGAGTTACCCCCAAGATATTTTATATTATTTTAGGCTATTGTGAAGGGTGATGTTTCTCTGATTTCTTTCTTGGCCCATTTATCATTTGTATATAGAAGAGCTACTGATTTTTTTTAGTTAATCTTGTATCCTGCCACATTACTGAAGGTGTTTATCAGCTGTAGGAGTTCCCTGTAGCTGTAGAATTTTTGGAGTCACTTATGTATACTATCATATCATCTGCAAATAGGGAAAGGTTAACTTCTTCCTTTCCAATATGTAACCCCTTGATCTCCTTTTGTTGTCTTATTGCTCTAGCTAGAACTTAGAGTACTATATTGAATAGATATGGGGAGAATGGACAGCCTTGTCTTGTTCCTGATTTTGGTATAATTGCTTTGAATGTCTTTCCATTCAATTTGATGTTGGCTGTCAACTAGCTGTAAATTGCCTTTATTATGTTTAGTTATGTTCCTTGTACTCTTGACCTTTCTAAGACCTTTATCATAAAGGGCTGTTAGATTTTGTCGAAGGCTTTTTCAATAGCTAATAAGATGATCATGTGGTTTTTTTTCTTTCAGTTTGCTTATATGGTGTATTATGTTGACAGATTTTTATATGTTGAACCATCCTTGCATCTCTGGAATGAAGTCTACTTGATCTGTGCTTCTTGTCTGATTGACTATCAACTGGTGCTGTAGATAATGTTAACTTGATTGAACAGAGAAGAGTTGCTTTGTAGCCCACACACTTTAGGGACCATCCATGCTCATAGTGGGTGATTTTTTTTGATGTGTCTTGGATTTAGTTTGCCAATATTTTATTGAGTATTTTTGCATTGATGTTCATGAGGGAGATTGGTCTGTAATTCTCTTTGTTGCATCTTTGTGTGGTTTGGGTATCAGGATAACTGTAAGCCTCATAAAAAAGTGTTTGGCAGTGTTCTTTCTGTTTCTATTGTGCAGAACAGTTTGAAGAGTGTTGGTATTAGCTCTTCTTTGAAATTCTAGTAGAATTCTGTGCTGAAACCATCTGGTCCTGGGGTTTTTTTTTTTGGGGGGGGGAGACTTTTAACAACTGTTTCTATTTCCATAGGGGTTATATGTCTATTTAAATTGTTTATCTGGTCTTGATTTAATTTTGGTATGTAGTACCTATCCAGAAAATTGTCCACTTCTTTCGGATTTTTCCAGTTTTGTGGAGTATAGGTTTTTGAAGTATGACCTGATGATTCTCTGGATTTCCTTGTTGTCTGTTGTTATGTCTCCCTTATCGTGTCTGATTTTGTTAATTTGGATGTTCTTTCTCTGCCTTTTGGTTAGGTTGGATAAGGGTTTGTCTATCTTGATTATTTTCTCAAAGAACCATTTTCAAAATGGCAAACTAGGATGCTATCTCCAGATGAGCATGGATGGCCCCTAAAGCGTGTGGGCTACAAAGCAATTCTTCCCTGTTCAATCAAGGTAGCATTATCTATAGCACCTGCAATAGTCAACCAGACAAGGAGCACAGAAAAAAATTAAAAACACTGTAACATTATCCATTTATGGAAAAATGGTTTATGTAATTTGTTTTGTCTTTTTTTTTCCTTAATGAGTGTAATCTGTCTGATAATTTTCACATGGGATGAGATGGGGAGAGGACAAATACAACAATACAAAATTTTACAAAATGTCAAATCCATGATCCAGGCATGCAAGTTTAACCAAATCAAAACACTATTTAAGAAACTGGAGTCTTAAGCCAAGTTTGGTGTTGCATGCCTAGAATCCCAGGAAAGTGAGGTAGAAAGAGTTGGAGGCTAGTCTGGAATATAAAATGAGGCCTGGTATCCAAAACAAATAAATAAATACAATTTCTAGAGTCTTTTTAATTAGAGTCATCTCTTACTTCAACTTCACTGTTGAACTTATTATCCCAAGGTTGAATCTTATATAAGTAACTTTTTTTTAAAACAGTACCTCCCTATGTAGTCCAAACAGGAATAGAACTTGCAATGTTCCTGCCTCATCCTCCTGAGTGCCAGGGCTGTAGGAATATGCCACCATGCTCTGCTAAAGATGGCTCTTCTACATAGAATGTGTTTTCCCTTCCCTTTCTTTTGCTCCAACCCTCTCCAACCAACTCACACAAACACACCATACCCCCTTTTCAAAAGCACAAACTTTTTAAATAATAGAGCACACGTATGAGATTATAAAGCTAGTACAAAGAAAATGTGCACTATACCCACTTTCTTATATTGGTTGGTATATCCATCACAATAATAGCCCAATATTGACATAAGTATCATTAAATTTCACAATTTACTCAGATTGCTCTTACACATTTTACCCAGTGTGCTTTCTGGTTCTACCTTTACAATAGTTTATCATGTCTTTTTAGCATCCCCCTGGCTTTCCTCATTTTTCACAACTGTCACAGGTTTTAGAATATCTGTGGAATGACCTTCACCTCACACAATACTTTTCTCATTAGCCTGGGATTCAGGGACATAAAAAGATGACCAGGGACTCACTTCAGCATATAAGACTAATATGGCTAATCACTAATTGTGAATTATGGTCACCTTATAGTAGTATTTGTCAGGTTTCTATGCTGTACAGTTACTCTCTTCTTCCCTCCACACTGCACTTTTGGAGAGGGAAGTCAGCATGCACAACCCACACTAATGGAGTAAGGAGTTCTACCAATCTCCTTGAGGCATCATATCTCCAGGAATCACTGTGATTCATCTGTACTAGAAATATGTCTGTTGTCCCCCTTTTATTCACTATGGATTCATGAGTATTTGTATTATACTACTCATAATGGTTCAACACTATTGTTGAAATGATTCAGGCTTTGGCCATAAGAAGTTCTTTTAGTTAGAATTAATGCCTCTTTCATTCTCAAATATTTTAGAATTCTTCAAGGTATTTCCTCAGTTTATGGTTAAAGCAAAATGTTCTGGATTCATCTTATACATTTCCTGTCCCACTGTTAGAATCAGTCACAGCTCTAAAGAATGTTGATTACTTTATTGGAGAGTAGTGTTAAAAAACCAAGATGTGGGTACTAGATGATGACACCTATCTGGCATGCTCCCCTATACTTGCTATACTGCAGTCACCAGCCAGAGTAGACAGATCAATCTCCACATGAATATATGGCTTCTTAACCCATGTAGAACTTCTAACATTCATGATATCACTTTCTGGCAAGCTTCTTAGACCTCTGGGGGAGCATATTTGTAGTAGCATGCAACATACAATTCAACCATGGAGGAAAAAAGCAGTTTATGACCTTTAAGATCAGATAGCATTAATTTAACTAAAATCCCCTCACCACAAGGCTACTTTGGAGTCGTTTGGTTCACTGGGGAATCCCTTGAGGAAGGTTGCATTCTACAATAAGGAAACACTTTCATTTGAATACAGAGAAGACATATGGCTAATTAGATTACCAGCTGTTTAAATAACTTCAGATAAATATCTCTGTGTCAGCCAGGAAGTCGGCTCTAGTGCATTCCCACAGAGAGATCCAACTGTGCTGTCTGATATTTTGGTCAACAGTTTAGATGGAGTTGGAAAAACAAGTTTCTCAAATTTTCAGATATTACAAAACTGTAAACTATTATGTTAAAGATGAAACACAAGACCAGACAGTCTAACAGACTCTCATGCAGGCTAGAAACAACAAGAAATGTTAACAGGGTAAAAATAAAGTTGTATAACTAGGTGTTTAAAATTACTTGCATAAGGGTGGGAGTAATTACTTGGTACCAACTCATGTGAAAACAGATGAGAATTTTCACTGTGTGAAGCTACAAGTGAGTCAAAAGTCAAAAGCACTGCCAGAAAAGTGATGCCTGCTCAGGTTGGAGTAGAGGGCATACTGTGTGCTCAGCTTCAGCAGTTACCATCCCAACATTGGCTTTACTAGCTGCACAACTCCAGGATCATTGCTGTCATTTCAGAGCAACATAACATTTTTTTTCACTTTTTTTTTTTTTTATTATTTTGCAATACCATTCAGTTCTACATATCAGCCACGGATTCCCTTGTTCTCCCCCCTCCCGTCCCCCTCACCTTCCCCCCAGCCCCCCCCCCCTCCATTCCCATCTCCTCCAGGGCAAAGCCTTCCCCACAGACTGAGGTCAACCTGGTAGACTCAGTCCAGGTAGGTCTAGTCCCCTCCTCCCAGGCCGAGCCAAGCGATCCTGCATAGGCCCCAGGTTTCAAACAGCCAACTCATGCAATGAACACAGGACCCAGTCCCACTGCCTGGATGCCTCCCAAACAGATCAAGCCAATCAACTGTCTCACCCATTCCGAGGGCCTGATCCAGTGGGGACCCCTCAGCCATTGGTTCATAGTTCATGTGTTTCCATTCATTTGGCTATTTGATGGGATGGCCAAACACCCTAATTGTTGTGCTAGAAACCTCATCCAACTACTGAGGGATCTGGATGCAGAGATCCATGACTAGGCCCTGGGTGGATCTCTGGGAGTCCAATTAGCGAGAATGAGGAGGGTTTATATGAGCGAGAATTGTTGAGACCAAGGTTGGATAAAGCACAGGGGCAACATAACATTTTTACAGTGTTTTCAAAGTTTTGCTTAAGCTTTCATTTCTTGTTTTTGTTGGGTTTTTGTTTGTTTGTTTGTTTGCCTGTTTGCTTGTTGACTGGTTTTTTGGGGTTTTTTGTCTGTTTGTTTGTTTGTTTTTGTTTTTGTTTTTGTTTTGTGTTTTGTGTTGTTTTCTGAGACAGAGTTTTTCTGTGTAGCCCTAGCTGTCCCAGGACTTGCCCTGTAGGCCAGGCTGGTCTCAAACTCACAGAGATCTACCTGCTTCTGCCTCCCAAATGCTAGGATTAAAGGCATCGGCTACCACCACCAGCTTTGATTAACTTTCATCCACATGATTATGGAGTATAGAATGATATTTTGGTGCATATTTAATGATCAAAATCAGGATAATTAGCATATCTATACATCTGTCCTCTCTCTTTTATGTTAAAAGCATTCAAAAGCCTCTCTTGTAGCTATTTTAAAATATCTAGTAGTTTATCTTTAGTTGTAGTTATCCTATTGTGTTATATAAATAAATAAATAAATAAATAAATAAATAAATAAATAGAATTTATTTCTCCTATCTGGATATATTTTGGTATTCTATCCTTCCCTCCCTCTACCTTCTCCATTTCTCTAAGATGGACACTTAACTTCTACATGTAAATGAGAATATAGAAAATTTGTCTGTCTTCTAAATACCATGCTGTTAACAGAAAGTGTACTTTTTAAAGTATGTGTCTAAAAGCAGACAATTTCAATAATGAATAGAACTATGCAATCGTGCAGTGAGGACCTAAAGGAATTAGAGGGGGTAAGCTCAAAACAGAAGTGAAGGCAAGTTTAAAATGGCCACATGTAGTTGGAGAAAAAGGAATCCCCACATGTAGTGGAGGAAGAAGAAAGTTGCTTATTTTGTGCAACTCCACTGGGGGAGGCCAGCTCCCACCTTTTAAAAGGGTTCCTATGAGGAGGAGAGAGGGATAAGAAACTTTTAGATAGAAACATAGTGAAGAGGAGAAAGACAGAAACAGAGGATAGCTTTGAGAGGACCTGGATCAAAACCCAATGGTCCCTTCTGCCTCTTCAAAGGTGCTTTTTATAACAATGCCAAAGGATGGGGCAAAAGACCTCCCTTCTGCTAGATCAAAGCACACAGCACAGCCAAGTGTAGACCCTTCCAAATACCTGGTAACCACACCCGTGGTCAAATCATCCCCTTATGCAACCCTGCTGGGTAAAGCAAGCTCAGATTCTGAGACATGAGTATGTTCTCAGTAGGAAACCTCTGTGGGTCCCACTCCACAAGACAGGACTCAGAACAATGGGAACAAGTTCCAAAGAGGCAGATTGAATGTGGGGATAAGAAAGAACTGCCTAGCAATGAAGAGCAACCATCATTACAATCACATCTCAGGAGCAACAACATCCTATAATTATCTTTACTTGAACAGGCACTAGTGGGAACTCCAAGGATAGAAGCTTGGTAGATGGAGTTCTTTTATGAATCTAGCTACCTGTTCACTGCAAGTATACTTACAGAGTTGATGCCTAAGCATTTTTAGTCAAATATAATTTAAGATTCCTGTAATAGTGACTTATTTTGTCTTTTCTTTCATTATTCTCTAACCTTTTCAGTTTTCAGAAAAATGAATTAAGAACACAAATGGTAAAGTACAGGAACAGTTAACCTTCTGTCAAAAGCACAAATATCACAAAGTGATTAATTATAAAGTCAAAATGTAGAGCAAAACGCTAGCCCAATTGGTAAAGTTACAGTATGTGTTCCCACAACAGAAACATTACTTGCCAGAGTGATTGATAAATGTTAGACCACATCTTTGGCCTGTGCCTCTCTGTCAGTTATGGGGGAACTCCCATCATTGTGGAGTTAAAGAATGTGGACTGTTTTACAATATGTGTTTTGTTTTCATTTACATCTATGTATGTTTCCTAGTCTGGGGCCACCTGTCTCTGAACAGCTGGAAGCAGGCGGTATAGTCAAGAACTCTAAACCAAAACACATTAACTAGAGATCCTTGATATTGCCAGAGGCAGCTGCTGACCGTGGGAATTAGCCTTCTTCAACTTTTGCACAGCTGTATGTTTTAACTCACTGGAGGAAAACTGTTTCCTATGAAAATGCATTGTGTTTTTAGACCATAAAGTTTGTCAATTCATCCCCACAACTGTTCTCACAGCTTACAGGCCAATGTCCACACAAACCAGGTCATGACAGGACATGCTGCAGTGAGTGTGAAGAAAACTATTACATCAATACATCTGGAAAATGCATTTGTAAGTAATGGAATGCTAAAAACACAAGTGAAGTCAGTTGGATCTACTGTGGGCATGCTACAAAAACAATGGAGTTTCAATTCTTTCTTTTTTTTTCCTATTTTGGTTTTGGTTTTTCAAGACAGGGTTTCCTTGTGTGTCCCTTGTTGTCCTGGAACTGGCTCTGTAGACCAGAATGGCCTTGAACTCACAGAGATCCACCTGCCTCTGCCTCCTCAGTGCTGGGATCAAAGGCATGTGCCACCACTGCCCAGCAAGTTTCATATCCTTTTATTTGATTTTTTTTTTTAAGAAATGTGAACTTAGAAAGTGAACACAGCTTAATTCTAATTTTGAAAAAAAATATTTTTATAATTATATGAAAAGACCTTTTTCTTTTTTTAAACTATTAGCCTATGTTAAATATTAGCCTTTGTTAAAATTTCTCTGAGTTGTCTCCTGTACACATGTGTACTTCCAGCTAAAAACTTGTCACCATGTCCTTGTCCTGTTTCATTATCTATCCTTAATTATTTTCTTCAGGTCACACTTATCTCAGTTTTCTATATATAATTGGCTACCTTTAAAACCAGGAAGGAAGAGCCAGCAAGATGGCTCAGTGAGCATAGGTGCTTGCTGCCAACCTTGACAACCTGAGTTCAATCCCTGGAACCCACATGGGAGAAAGAGAGAGCTGACTCCCACAAATTGTCCTCTGACCTCCACATGAACAACTAGGGAGTAGGGGTTGGGGTGATATAATACTTACCTAGTACGCAAGGGAAAAAAATTTTAAAACATTTTTAAAAGAGGGAATGTTGGCTCTTATAAACCAAAGTCTGTTAGTCTCTTTCTTTGTGTCTCTCTGACATTTTAATAATCTTTACAAACGCTTCATCTGTTAGTGAAACCAAAGGAGACTTTGTAAATGCTCAGCTTGGTCCACAGAGTCCACTGAGCTCCTGGGTAAGAGCTGATTGTGAGCAGAGGTTGGCCTGCATCTGTGGTGTGGCGTAACACTGCCCAAAAGTGTCCCAGAAGACCCCTGAACCATTCTGTGTGTTCCATGACATCCAGTGGAGCCTAGTTAGCCAGTTTTTACTGCAATTGCCATTACTGACTGTAATTTCAAGGATCATTTCTGTCATTCACAATTGGCATTATTAGTATGAAAGCTATCCAATGACTTTAAAAATCACACTTTATTGCAATAAATCTAAAAGCATAAGCTAATGATTCCTAACCTTTTAGAATTGCAACAACATCAATAGCTCTCTCTGCCTTGATCAGAAACCAGCTCAAATAAAGTGCCATGTGACATCAGCTATTTTATTAAGTCAAACAAAGCTCCTTCTCCCATCTCCTAAAGAACAAAGCAATCACATATAATGGAGTCACCCCCAGGCAGGACTTTTAGTGTGGTCATAGAACTTCTTGGTTCTACTGTAATGGCCAGTATTAAATCCACATGCCTCACTCAAACAGATAAAGACCCCACATGCACATTCACAATAAAAACTGCATTTAATTTTTCGATATAGAAAACCATAAGTTGATTTGCTAATAGAATATAGAGAGACAGCCGGGTGGCGATGGCACACGCCTTTAATTCCAGCACTCAGGAGGCAGAGCCAGACAGATCTCTGTGAGTTCAAGGCCAGCCTGGTCTATAAAGTGAGATCCAGGACACTAAAACTACAGGTTGTATTTTAATGGTCTCCCACAGATCTCTGAAATCATATTGTCTTTAAATCATTGTCTTAGAAACATAAATTGGGGATAATTCCAGGAGAGGAGAAAAGGTTTGTTTTTTAAGCTAGGCATAGCATAACTTTCTCTGCTTCTTCACTCTTCCTTTGTAGCATGTGACTGCAACAAGGAAGGAGCCCTGAGGCCTGTCTGTGATGCAGACACTGGCATGTGCCATTGCCAGGAGTGTCAGTGGCCAGGGGTGTGATCACTGCACCCAGGGTCATGGCCAGGAATTCCCTTCTTGTGTTTGTCTTCGGTGTCACTTGTGCTTTGATCACTGAGACCATACCATGTCATCCCTCTCCAAAGCAGTGCAAGGGTTAATTGGGCTGCCTGCTAACATGGAAGATAAAAGATAGAGCCTGCCTGTCTCTGAAGTGGACTTCAAAGGCCTCAGAGAGAACATATCTATCATAGACATTTTGAAACAACCTGTTCTTTTATCTGAGGAATTGTTGAAAGTCAAAGATTTTTATGAGTCTGTGAAATAAGATTTGTATTGGAGGAATAAATAAGCCAACTCCTGTTTGACCTTTGACTACTACTGAATTTTACATCCTTGGCCTTCAACTTAGAAATGTACTTATGTTGGCTTTGAGAAGTGATTATTGCTGAGATAGGCTTTTTTTTGCATGTGTATGTGGTGTACACATGTATACTGGTATACAAGCATATGTGTGCATATCCATGTGGAAGACAGATGGACCTCAAGTGTCTTTTGCTCTTCTCCATTTTATTTGTGGAGTCTCTTGCTGAGCCTAGAGTTTGCCCATTTGAGCAATCTAGCTAGCTAGCTTATCCCAGGGATCTCTTGATTCTAGAAATAAGGCAGACTGCCACACCCATTCAGCCTCTGTATTGATAACTGGAGGTCCAAATCCCGCTCTTGAGTTTGAATGACAAGCACTTTTTTTACTGAGACATCTCCTTGAACCCATAAGCAGGCTTTTATGTTTGTTTCTTCCCAGTTAAGATTACATGTGATTTTTTTCAGATGCTATTAAATTTTACAAAAACAGAACCTTTAGAAGGTAAATGGTAACGGGCAGTGTAGCAGGGGTAGTGTCCTTCCTAGCATGCCTGAGGTCATGGGTTAAGCCTGAGCACTCTAAAGACAATAAAAAATTAAAAATAAAAGGTTAACTGAGAAGCCCAAACCCAGCAGATCTAAAAGTCATGACACTGACTTACAGCCATTATACTCTGAATACACCATTTCATCTATGACACAGGAAACTTGAAGTATAGTACTTTCCAATACAAATAGTATATTTTCAAAGATGCACACAAGGAAAATCTTCCAAGATTCTTCATTTAATTAGAAGCTATGCATTACTTCTTGTATTATACCAAGGATGGCCATTCCTTCAGAATACAATATCATTTTTATCATCTAGTACCAAATCATTTTTCATTCATCAGTCATCTTTCAAGATTACATTGGTTGCTCTGAACCAGGGGGTCAGTAAACAGGTCAGCGCACAGGTTGAATCCAGTACAGCACATGTTCTTGTGGATGAAGTTCTGGTGAAACACAATGCTGTAGTGACAACCCTGTGACTGCTCTCCCTCTGTAGTAGCAGAGTTGCCAAGTGGCGACAGACACCAGGAATCCTGAGGCAAACTTTGCCACCCTGCTCCAAGCAAAAACTAGGATGACTTTCTGCATGTTTTCTCCATCATAGAAGCAGTCTACCAAGATTGCCCCCCAAATACCTCCCCTTTTTCAAAAAGTTCCTAAATTAAGGAAACTTAACACAGTCATAAACATAAGTCAAACATTATCAACAAGAAAATAGACTCAAAGTAAATGGCACTTGATTAAAAGTTGTACAAGGAAAAAGAAACAACCTACCTATATAGTTCAGGTCCACCTAAACCCAGTGACAGGGCCTGGGGAGATCAAATGGCTATGTAAAGAGAAGAGGTATATCTCTACCCCTCTATTATCCTGCACATGAGGAGCCCTATATAATCAGATCTTCCTACTTCTCAAGACATATCAAACATTTACATTTTCAAAGAAATAGCCCCCACTGAAAAGTATAGGAGATACTCAATATCACTTGTAAATCACACAGTGTGGCTCAAGGAAAATACACCTGAGGGTAAGCTTTAGGCTGCAGGCCATTGCTCTGTGGTTACAGCTATCAAAGTGGCACCAAGAAAGCAGAATGAGATACGGGACGTTGTGAACAAAAAGACTGTAGGAGTGCTGAGCAGAATTTGAGAGGACAGCAAGAGGATAGGAGCCATGAGCCAGACAGAAATGATAAGGAAATGAGAGCTGCTAAGTCCCTCCAAAGATATGCTGTCCCCTGGGATGGATAGCATGCAGAAGCCCTGATGCTGTTTGGTGGCCACCAAAATACCACCTTTCATGTGCAGCCTTCCCTTGTCTCCCCAGACACCAGACTCCTGTCTTCTCCTCTACCCTCTCACCTCATCGTGCTCCTTCACCATGGCCTCAGTGGGGCACTCAGAACTTTCTTCCCACCCACTTGCTTATTTCCCAGGCCAGTAATGGTTATGAAATATTTTCTAGATGAATTGACAAAGGAGATTAGAAGGACAGATCAGAGGGCACCCTGAGCTTAAATGTAGAAGTCAAGGCACCATGATTCAAACCCACCCACTACCTGTGTAGCTCCAAACAAATCAAATCTCCAGCTTCAGTTTCTTTGTCAAAAAGAAGAAATTCTGTTTCACAGGATTCTTCCTCGAGACTTGGCATAGTACCTGGCACATAGTAAGTACTTAGGGAATATAAGTGGTCACAAAAAGTTACTATTGTTTTTATTGTTAGTATTGTTAGCCTGAAGAAGTACAGTCTTGAAAGTTGGAGAATGAGGGGAAAGTCTGTAGAAGAGAAAGAGAAGAAAAATTCAGGATGCATTAGTCAGTGTTCAGATGACCCCAACTGCACCTGCTAAGGTCTCCATGCCATGTTCTCATCAGAAAGGGTGTGTTCATTATGTGCTTGAACCAAAGATACATGCTGAACCCAGGCCATGGAAGTGAGGGGAAAACCTACTGTCTGTTCACCAGTTAGGAGACTTCTTTGTCACACATGGAAACTAAAAGACTGTATGGCAGTAACACAAAGGAAGCTGTGAAGGCAGATTGTAGTCATTACTTGGGCGTCCCCCTAACAAGACAGCAATGCCTGGGGCTCAGTAGAGGGTGAGGAGAGAAACCACTCTGGAGACTTTTTTCAGGGAATAGCATCTGTTTTATTGCATGTGAGTGACCACTTCAATAGTAGAAGCCTAGTAACTGTGACTGGTTAGTACATTTCCTCAGATTGGCCAGTGAGTGCTCATACCACATGGTCTCTATGCACAAGAAGCACATAAAAGGAGACAGAGAGTGCAGACTCATGGCCAGCTACCAGCTACTCACAGTAGTTAAGAATTCAGTATTCTGACTTCTGGGAATATTCAGGAGCACAGTATGGCAAGTAGACTGGCTACCAGGTCATGCCTGAATTTACTCCTACATCAGATGTCTTCTAGATGAAGAAATGATTTTCCCTGAGGTTGAGTCCAGGATTCTTTTTTAGCAAGCATTGAAAGGCAAATAGAAAAATCTTGTAGATTGGTTTCAATGAACTACATCTGAATACATGCTTTAAGAAGCATGTGTTTATTCTGCTAGGATGTTGTCTTAGGGTTTCTGTTGCTGAGAAGAGACACTATGACCACGGCAACTCTTATAAAGGAGAACATTTAAATGAGGTGGTGGCTTGCCTATAGTTCAGAGGTCCAGTCCATTATCATCATGGCCAGGGAGCATGGTGGCTGGGCATGTGCGTCATACATGGGCTGCAAAGAGGGTGCTGAGAGGAAGTTAGACAAATAGAGCTTAAGCTGTTTTCCCAGAGAGTAGATACAAATAGTGTCAGAGGAAGTTAGCTTAAACTGTTTACTCAGAGAGTAGACACAAAGGATGGTGTGGAGAGGAAGTTAGTTTAAGCTGTTTATGCAGAGAGTAGATACAAAGGATGGCTGAGAGGAAGTTAGCTTGGGTTGTTTGTATGGAGATTAGAGACAAATGGTGAGGAAGGAAGTTAGCTCAAGTTATTTATGCTGAGATAAGATACTAAGATCAGGAGATGATGTCAGGGCATAAACAATTTGTAAATAGGGTGACCTTTAAAATGATTGGTTGGTTACTTCGCCCCCTCCTAGGGTTCTGAGGATTTTGCTATAAAAGAGGCTTAACTGCCTAACAATGAATGAGTTCTTACTTGACTTGACTCCGAGATGATGCATCTGATTGTCTCCGGGTAAGAAGGAGGCTGAGAAACAGGCAAGCAGCATGCACTTACCTTTCCTCAGTTCCAGGCCACCTCTTCACTGGTGGCCTAAGTTCCCGGTGGGGCAGGACCCCACATGGGCATATGGCAGTATGCAGGCAGACTTGGTGCTGGAGAATTCTGCATCTTGATCCCAAAGCAACAGGTAGTGTGCTGAGACTCTGGGTGTGACTTAAGCGTATATGAGGCCTCAAAGTCTACCTCCACAGTGACACACTTCCTTCAACAAGGCCACACCTACTCCAACAAGGCCACACCCCCAACAGTGCCACTCCCTATGGGGGCCATTTCCTTTCAAGCTACCACATTCCTCTCCCTGGCTCTCAAAGGCTTATAGCCACATCATGATGCAGAAATTCATTCAGTTCAACTTCAAAAGTTTCCACAGTCTCATAAAAGTCTCAACTTATTTAAAAGTCCAAAGTTCAAGTATCTTTGGAGATTCATGTGATCTCTTAACTGTAGTTCCCTGTAAAATCAAAATAAAAAAGCAGATCACATGCTTCCAACACATACTGGCATAGAATATACATTACCATTCCAAAACATAGGGAAGGGAGCATAGTGAAGAAATACTGGACCAAAGAAAGAACAAAAACCAGCTGGGCAAACTCCAAACTCTACATCTCCATGTCTGATGTCAAAATGTTCTTTAGATCTACAACTCTTTTCAGCTTTGTTGACTGCAATATACTTCTTTCTCTTGTGCTGGTTCCTCAGCAGGTATCCAACAGCTCTGGCATCTCCAACATCTTGGGGTCTCCAAGGCAATCCAGGCTTCAACTTCACAGCTTCATGCAATGGCCTCTCTAGGCCTCCATGCAGGGACACCCCTGACACATGCCTGGCCTCAGTGGCTTTCCTTAGTTGCTCCTTGACTCTAAAGCCAGAACCAAATGGCCAAAGCTGCCAAGTTCTGCTGGTTACTGAAGCTGAAGCATGGCCCCTCATTCAATTACATCTTCACCAGCTGTAGCTAGAGTTTTCCTGCCTTGCCCACAGTCAGGACAAATCTCTCTCACCTGCCAGTCCCACAGCCGCTCAGACCCAACCAAGTAAACACAGAGACTTGAAAGAGACAAAAAAGGTGATATATACAGTTATAGAAACAAATACATAGTTTTAAAAAATAAAGTCTTTAAAGAGACAGTAAAATTAATATAAAAAATAAGCCACGTGAAGATGAATATTACACAGAGAATCTGGATTGCGTTGTCTTTGGGATTTTTAACTGCAGAAAAACATTTGATTGTAAAAGCTGTTGAGTTATGGCAAAATGCATATTTTAAAGATACCTTGACTTCAAAATTTGGATGTAAGAATGTGTTGCCTTGGAAAAGAGTCTCTGCTTTTGTTCCCACAGAAAGCCAGAGGCTATGGATTTGTTCCAGATTAAGATACATCAGGTTTGACCAGCCAAGACCCCCTGAAAGGTCTCCGATGACACCATGGCCCAGATGATCCAACATCCAGAACCGTTTCAAGGCAACTGGCTCAGACAATACACCCTCATGGACTACTCCATAATCCTAAAATTTTCTTTGTGTCCCCATAAGATATAGCGCCCCCCCTCCAGCAGGAAGTAGTAAGAGAAGCTACGTTCAAATTCCCAAATTATATGTAATTTTACTTTGTTAAAGTTAAAACCTTCCTTTAAAAAAAAGGGGGGGAGAAGTGCTGTGGGATGGTCTGTATGTCAAATGTGTTGCTAATTAGTCAATAAATAAAACATTGATTAGCCATTGGCTAGGCAGGAAGTGTAGGCGGGACAAGGAGTTGAATAAAGCTGGGAAGTGGAAGGCTGAGTCAGAGAGACGCTGCCAGCTGCCATGATGACAAACAGCATGTAAAGATGCCGGTAAGCCATGAGCCATGTGGCAAGGTATAGATTAATAGAAATGGGTTAATTTAAGCTGTAAGAACAGTTAGCAAGAAGCCTGCCATGGCCATACAGTTTGTAACCAATATAAGTCTCTGTGTTTATTTGGTTGGGTCTGAGTGGCTGTGGGACTGGCAGGTATCAGAGATTTGTCCTGACTGTGAGCCAGTCAGGAAAACTCTAGCTACAACCAGCTTTCTGTTTTCTATGGTTTCCTTCATTGCCTAAGCTTGGCTGTTCTGGAAGTTTTTCTGTAGAACAAGCTGGCCTCAAACTCAGAGATCTGCCAGACTCTGCCTCTGGAGTGCTAGAATTAAAGGCATGCACCACCACACCTGTTTCTAAGCTTTTCTTTAATTCCTTTTCACAAGTTGGAAACAGCTGGGTGGGTTCTTGCCCTGAGGTCATGACTCCTTTTATTCCATTTCTTAATCTGTTTATCTCCTTGAACATAGGACTTAGCTTCATTCCACTTTCTAGTGCTCTTTTTCTCATCAAATATTTTTACTTGCTCAGCTTGCTCCTTTTCATTATAAATCTTCATTGGAGTTACCACTAATAACCACACAACAGCGTCTATACTAGGCTACTTTGAGATTTCCTCTGCCAAGGAAATTAATCCAAAACTCTTCACTTTAGCCACAGGGAAACTTTAAAGACAAGGGCAAAAAGCAATCACATTCTTCACCAAAATATCACAAGAACAATCTCTAGGCAACATACTAAAATTCTTCTGAAACCTCTTGAGCCAGGCTTCCATAGTACATCAAATCACATTCAACACAACTGTCTTCCATGCTCCTACTAAGATGGCCCAATATGCAGCACTTAAAGAGTTCAACTGCTTTTCTAATCCACAGTCACAAGGTCCATATTCCTTCAAACAAAAGCATGGTCAGGCCTATCACAGCAATACCCCTGTCCCTGGTACCAATTTCTGTCTTATTTAGGGTTTCTATCACTGTGAAGAGGCACCATGACTATGGCAACTCTTAAAAAGGAAAAACATTTAGTTGGGGATGGCTTACATTTTCAGAGTTTAGTCCATTATCAACATGATGGGAAGCAAGGCAGCATGCAGGCAGACATGGTGCTACATCTTGACTAACAGGCAACACGAAGTGGTCTGACTTACTGGGCATGGCTTGAGCACACATGAGACCTCACAGCCCACCTCTATAGTGACACATTTCTTCCAACAAGGCCACACCTCCAATAATGCCACTCCCTTTGGGGTTCATTTTCTTTTAGACCACCACAGACATATAGTCTGGTCATTGCTTAAATGTGTGCCGAAATACTCCAGCCATCCAAAATAAGAGAAAAGAGATGAGCCATTAACAGAATCATAAACACAAATGAAAAATTATGTGTCGAGGACCCCTTCTAATTGAGGATACCTAATAATGAGGATCATTTTGTGGCATTTGTTTTCATTGATACATCAAACTAAATTACATTTACCCTTATTTTCTCCATTAGAAAATAAATCATGCTGCTAAGTGAGCAACTGAAAACAGTGTATGAATTTCAAGATCTGAAAGAAACCATGGCAAGAATGAGTAATGAAACAGACTTCTTACTTGAAAATCTTCAGGAGGAAATTGATGTGCAATCCAACATCCTTAATACAAGCATCCTGGGTAAGAACAAAAACACACTATGACTCTTTATTGGTCTGCTAATGTCATCCCTGTTCAGCTCATCTTTAGGCAGTCATCTTAGTAAGACTTTATGGGTATAGCTTCTGACATTCCTAAGAGAAAATATCTTACAGTAACCTCCCTGCTCCTCTGGAGCTTACAAAATTTCTGTCCCCTCTTCCACAATGATCCCTGAGTCTTAGGTACAGGAGTTTTGTTTAGATTATCAATTGAGAATGGACTCCACAACTCTGCATTTTGATTGGTTGTGATTTTCTGTAATGGTCTCCATCTGTTGCAAAGAGAAGTTTCCTTCATGAGGGGTGAGGATAACACTTGTAACTAAAGATTTGGAGCTAAGAGCCTCAGATGAAAGAAAACACATTGTCTTTCTGGGTCTGAGTTACCTCACTCAATATGATCTTTTCTAGTTCCATCTGTTCATCCACATAGTTCATGATTTCATTTTTCCTTACAACTGACTAGTATTCCATAGTGTATATGAACTACATTTTCATTGTCCATTCATGAAGGGCAATTAAGTTGTTTCCATTTCCTAAGCTATCATGAATAGAGCAGCAATGAACATGGCTGAGCAAGAATCTGTGGAGTAGGATATTGAGTCCTTTGGGCAGATGCCAAGAAGTGGTATAGCTGGGTCATATGGGAGATTTATTTTTAGAATTTTGAGGATTCTCCACACTGATTTCCAGAAAGGCTAGACTGGTTTGCAACGCCACCAACAGTGAATGAGACTTCCCTCCAGCATTTGATTTTGCTTGTTTTGTTGATCTTTGCCATTCTGATTGGGGTAAAATAAAATCTTAAGTTGTTTTGATTTTCATTTCCCTAATTACTAGAGACAATGAACATTTTTTGAGCTGTTTCTTAGTTTCTTTTTCTTCTTTTGAGAACTCTCTGTTCAGGTCCTGGCCCCATTTTTTTTGAATGGGTCATTTGTGGTTTTGGCTATTTTTTGAGTTCTTATATATCCTGGATATTAATTTTCTGTTAGATATATAGCTGGCAGATTCTCTCACATTCTAGTGGGTTTCTCTTCACTTGTTTCTTTAGCTGTGCAAAAGCTTTTCAGTTTTATGAACTCCTAGTTGCCAATTGTTGAATTTAGTTCGTCAAAAGGAGTCCTATTTTAAAAGTACTTTCCTATGCCCATGTTTTCTTCTGGCAGTTTTTATGTCTCAGGTTTCACATTTAGATCTTTGATCCACTTGGAGTAAGTTTCTGAACAAGGTAATACATACAAGTCTATATGTTGTGAAAATGACCATTTTACCAAAAGCTATTTAGAGATTCAATGAAATCCCAATCAAAGTCTCCATATCATTCTTCATAGAAATAGAAAAAAATTATCCTAAAATTCATATGGAACCACAAAAAAAAAACAAGATAAATTATAGAGGCATGGTATTAAAAACAACATGGTACTGGTATAAAAATATACATGTAGACCAATGAAACAAAATTGAAGATCCAAACGTAAGTGCACATAATTTCAGACACTTAATATATTATATATCAATGATGCCAAAAACATAAGCTAGAGAAACAAAAGCATCTTCAACAAATGGTACTGGGGAAAATGGATGTCCACACACAGAAGAAAGAAACTTTTTAATTTCTTAAACAATTCAGAGCTTAGATAAAATTTGCCCCAAATAACAAATAAAAGTAACAATGTCTGATACTAAACAAATAAGAACACCCAAAGTGTTCATATTTAGAAAATACAGATTTAGGGGAAAAGGCATTCTTGATTGCTATTTAAAACTTTTATTTTTCTCTTTGAAAGAGAAATGTATAGCAAGGTAGGGCAGCCGAAAGTTAAATATAGATAGAAAATCAAAGATTTATCTAATGCTAAATCCTAGAAAGAGTAATCAGTAACTTAAGAATTCTAGTTGGCAGGGAAGCCAGCTCCATCACAGAGAACTTGGCCAGTATATGCAAGGCCCTGGGTTCAATTCCCAGAACTGAAAAAAATAACTTAGGGAGATTCTAATGTGACTATAAGCAATGAAAAAGCTGCATTTATGTGTTTTTCTGGGTAGAAGCTGTCCTATTTCCAACAACCACTTCCAGAAACCACAAGTGCAAAGGAGTTCAAGACAAAAAGCAGCTAAATACGTTTCTCATAAGAACTTTAGTGCAACTGGAGTCACACAGCATTCTGGAAATCATTAATGCATATTGGATAGTTTTTAAAACTGAATGTGAGCCACACAAAAGCCAACGCTAACTTGGAGGAAAAATGGAACTCTGGAGAAAATTTTGATTAGCTCATCTGCTTAAGGTGACCTCTGTTGCTACCAAGTGAGGCAGATGGAGTTTGTTTATGCATACCCTGTTCAGTTGAGTGGTAAAGGGAAGACAGACATGAACCCATGTGAACACATAACTTTCGGCTGCCCTACCTTGCTATACATTTCTCTTTCAAAGAGAAAAATAAAGTTTTAAATAGCAATAAAGAATGCCTTTTCCCCTAAAGGAATACCTAAACTAAGTAAAATAAATTCTTTCAAAAACCTATTAACTATGATCAGTAAATAACAAACACAGCAAGGCATTTACTGATTCCTGATATGAAATACTATACCAATTGAAAGAATTCAAGATCCATCTGAGATGAAGCAAGCCAAACAGAGTAAGGTAACACTGCCTCACACTAGTCTTCTCCAATTTGGAGTCTATCAGCAGTTTCTACAATTTCTGAGATGCCTAATGCTGGGCAGTAGGAACTGAGTACTAAGAACAGTGACTTCCTGCCACTGGACAGAGCTGGGAGTAGGAACATCACACACAGTGTTAACTACTGATTTGGAAGCAGAGAAGCAAGACAAGCATTCTTCTGGCTCTGTTAGAAAAGAGTGCAGGGAAGGGGTAGCAATGGAATATTTGTTTGTCTGTTTTCCTGATCAATGACAAACATGATATACTTTAAAAATGACAGTGTAAGAGCCAAAGGGCTTAAACATAAGACATGAGGTCTTACCTAGTGAATATGTGTTTTTATTTTAGATATGGAAAACAAAAGTTGTAGCTAGAGTTTTCCTGCCTTACCCACAGTCAGGATAAATCTCTCTCACCCACCAGTCCCACAGCCGCTCAGACCCGACCAAGTAAACACAGAGACTTATATTGCTTACAAACTGTATGGCCATGGCAGGCTTCTTGCTAACTGTTCTTACAGCTTAAATTAATCCATTTCTATAAATCTATACCTTGCCACATGGCTCATGGCTTACCGGCATCTTCACATGCTGTTTGTCATCATGGCGGCTGGCAGTGTCTCTGACTCAGCCTTCCACTTCCCAGTTTATTCTTTTCCTTGTCCCGCCTATACTTCCTCCTCCCTGACAACTGGCCAATCAGTGTTTTATTTATTGACCAATCAGAGCAACACATTTGCCATACAGAACATCCCACAGCAAAAAGTGCTTAATAACATAGGCTCTACCTAATAGATGATCCAGTCCCAAGCAGTCAACTCTAAATGCACACACACATACACACACACACACACACACACACACACACACACACACACACACACAAGTAATAGTGAATGAACTCAGCAAGTTGTAGTTATCCATTTACTAATAATAACTAAAGAGTAAGAGGCCATAAAAAAGAACACAGGCTCTAGAGTTAGACTGCTAAATTCTGCCTTCAGCTCTTAACTATCATTAAGATCACACTACCTCCCCAGAGCCTCAGCTTTATCTGTGAAGTGAGGGTGGCTGTGCTGATGTGCATGTCACAGTGTTTACAAAGACTGAGTAAAACTATTGAGTCACAATACAGGTATATAGGAAGCATTGCTGGCCTGAGATGCTGTTATCATCCTCAACATCAAGGTTCTACAAACTGCAGTCTGAAGACAATCTTGCTCACACACTATTTTTACAAATAAAATGTCATTGCAATACAATCTTACCTATTTATGTCTTCACTCTAGAATGACAGAGTTGAATACACATACTCTGCTTAGAGAATACATTCAGGGCAACCCTGTGGACTAGAATGTCCATTCTCTGAATCCATGATGCCCATACTTATTACACTGTCTCTAATCCTTCCCCATCAGATATAAACTCAAGGAAGTTGGTCTGAAATTTTTTTTTCAGTGTAAGTTGAGACCAAGACCAGGGTCACTTTGTGGAATGATATTCCCATAATGGACGTATTCATTTGTTTATCACAAAATTTCTCTTACCTCAATTTGTGTTGCTATAGATGCCTCAGAAAACATGAAGAAATACTATGGCATATCAACAGCTGCTAAGAGGACTAATGAGACAGGTTCCATCATAGACAACCCTGAAAACACCAGGATCAGCTTATCTTACATCTTACAGACACTGACCCAAAAAGAAAACTTATGGAAAAAATTGAAGCAGATTAAGATCCCAGACATCCAAATATTGAATAATAAGGTAAATTTGTAATAATATAGTAAAAGTTTGTGGCTTTGCTGAGTTTACAGACCTTCTCACTTGCATGACCCTGTCATTTTTATTTTTTGAGTTTATATTTATAAGGACATATACATACATAAAGCACATAGGTAATAGTCAGTATATCCTCTGTTTCATAATATGTATGCTGTAGCTAGAGTTTTTCTGGTTCTGCCTGGCCCATGGTCAGGACAAATCTCTCTCACCCACCATTCCCGCAGCCACTTAGACCCAACTGAGTAAATACACAGAGACTTATATTGCTTACAAACTGTATGGCTGCAGCAGGCTTCTTGTTATCTAGTTCTTATATCTTAAATTAACCCATATCTTTTAGTCTATAAGTTGCCACATGGCTCATGACTTACTGGTACCTTACATCTCGCTTTTCATGGCAGTGGCTGGCAGAGCCTCTCTAACTTAGCCTTCCTGTTCCCAGAATTCTCTTCTCTGCTTGTCCCACCTATACTTCCTGCCTAGCTACTGGCCAATCAGTGTTTTATTTATTAACCAATCAGAGCAACACATTTAACATACAGAACATCCCACAGCAGTATGCAAATAATACAAATGTATCTATTTACATTTTATTTATTTGAGGATTCATGAAAGATTATTGCTGAATCTTATTATTTTATATTATTTACTGTTTCCAAAATATCCCAACAAATGGACATTTGCTCCTCTGGCCTCACTATAAGTAAAAGGTAGTATCTATTTTAAAAGAGCAGAAGTTGAATTAACAAGGAAAACCTAAAATTTGACTATTTTCTCAAAGAATATACAAATATAAAAATGATAGATTGATGCAGTGTTGATAATGTAGATATTATTTGGTTACCTAGGACATATTTAACAGGCCTCTCTATGTACTAAATGTGAGAAGCAACTGTAGGAACCTACACAGGAAAGGAATGCCTGGACTCAGAGAGCTGGGATGGCATTAGAATACAACCATGCCAGCAAGTTGAACATTGAAGTGAATCACTTCTCCTGCAAGGTGTGTGGGCAACCAGGGAACTTTTCGTGTAATTGTTTACCATACAAGGGTGCTCTCTGCACCAGCCCTGAGGGGAATAGACTGTGTGGTGGTCCCAGCTGTCAAGGTGTTCTGATTCTCTTAAGTAATGCCTTCCAGGAGGCCCAGGAGGCCCAGGAAGTGAGTGTTTACTTGCATATTTATGTGTGTACCATGTGCATGCATGGTACCTGCAAAGATCAGAAGACAGTGTCATGTCCCCTAGAATTGGACTAACAAAACAGTTATGAGCCAGGTGGTGGTGGAGCACGCCTTTAATCCCAGCACTCGGGAGGCAGAGTCAGGCGGATCTCTGTGAGTTCGAGACCAGCCTGAGCTACCAAGTGAGTTCCAGGAAAGGCACAAAGCTACACAGAGAAACCCTGTCTCAAAAAACCAAAAAACCAAAAAAAAAAAAAAAAACCAGTTATGAGCTGCTATGTGGGTGCTAGAAACATAACCTCTGTTTAAAAACAAACAAACAGGTCATCTGCCAAAGCAGCAAGACTTCTGGAGCACAACCTCCAGACTCTGGAGTTGTGCTAAAACACCATTTAACTTGAAATTACAAGAGGAAATGTGCCCTGCCAACTGAAAACTGTGCTACTCTGTGGTGGGTAGCCATTCCAGCTTTGACCTGGAAGTTCCAACCCCCATTGAGGCTTCAGTAACGGTCACACCTACAAGGCGGGGCTGAGAGAGGACACTGAAGACCTGAGATCAGGATGCACCGGCTCTCTTGGTTCCTGGACCCTGGACGCTGGAGCTAGACCGAGCAGAGTTCTCCAGGGAACACCGCCGGACTGCGCCACACCTTTCCCAGACCCTGTTACCTATCCCTTCATTTGTAAGTTACCCCACAAAATAAACCTCCCTTTTAACTACGTGGAGTGGCCTTAATAATTTCACCAATACTACTCTGAAGATTAAAATACAGATATCAATGTGGATTTTAAGGTAGATGTGCATATTGGGCGGGCACACAGGCACACACCTCTGATGAGAAAGAAAAAAGAACTCAGAATGCCATAGCTCACAGACTTGTGTAGACATGTTTTTGTTTGTTTGTAAGCGTACATATCTCATAAAAATGTCAAGACATGACCTTTGAAAACTGAAGATTATGCATACTCTCAAGGCAAAGAGTAATTTTTATGAATTCAAAGGTATATTTTGAATCCTACTAAACATACACATTTTAATGAAGAAATTAAAGTAAAAATACTTCAGAGGAATATGCTCTTAGACTTTGTATTCCTTTCTGTGATGATAGATAGGATAATATATTGTTGTTTCTTTGTGTGTGTGTGTGTGTGTGTGTGTGTGTGCACTTGAGTGCACAGCACATGTGCGTGCATGTGTGCATGCATGTATTACATGTATGTAGTTGTGTGTGGAGGCCAGAAGTCAATCTTGTTGCTATTCCTCAGAACAGTATGTAGCTCACTAAATAAGCAAGACTAGCTAGTCAGAGACCCCCAAGGATCCTCCTGTCTCCACCTTCCCAGTGCATGCCAACACACCCAACTTTTCACTTGGGTTCTAGCATCAAACTCAAGTCATCATGCTTGTGTGGCAAGCACTTTTAGACTGAGCTAACTCCCCAGACTAATACAATTGTGGTGTTGGTGTTGGTGTTGGTGGTTTTGTGTGTGTGTGTGTGTGTGTGTGTGTGTGTGTGTGTGTGTGTGTGTGTGGTGTATGACTGTGTATACCTGCAGAGGCCAGGAAAAGGTACCAGATCCCTTAGATTTGTGTTATAGCAGTTGTGAGCTACCTGACTGGGGGTGCTGAGAAATGAACTTATGTCCTCTGGAGAGTAGCAAGTGCTCTCTCCAGCTCCTCAACATGTTTTTAAAATATTTAAATATCTTATTGCTGAATCTGAAATAATTTGAAATTATTTAATGTACTTTTCTGGCTATGTCCACAAATAAATATTATTTTTAGTCACCTAACTTTCTATAAGGTTTTAAGGTCTCATCTTTTTATAGTGATGGGATCAAACTTAGGGCCTCACAGAAATCAGGCAAGTGCTATACTATTGGGCTACACCTCCAGCCCTGTAGGCTTTCAATATACACTACATATTTGGTTTTGAAAATACAATATGACATATTGTTTTTTCAACAATATGCTTAGAACCTTTGTTGAAAAATAAACAGATTTTAAGGGTTGAATATTCAGCATATGTTGCTGCTGTTTTTAAAAATCTCAAGCAAAAAAAAATGAACAGTTGTTTAAAAGAAATTTTCAGGGAATAGAAGCCAACTCCCGAGCAAAAGGAAATGTATATATGGGAAAGAGATCTTTGTACCAAGAAAACAATAGAAAGTCAAGTTTGAAAATGGGCTAAGACCACAGCCAAGATACATACAGAGAGAGAGAGACAAACAGACAGAGACAGAGAGAGAGAGAGAGAGAGAGAGAGAGAGAGAGAGAGAGAGAGACCCTATTTTCTAGTTCACTTACTCCTTACTCCAAATTCTGATGATCCAAGCTGTAAAATATCCCTACAATACTAAATGTTGAAGTTTTTTATTTAGAAGGTAACAGTTTTGTATTGCTACCCAGCTTGGCCCTCACATGTAATTTTTCAGTACTTTCAGAAATCCATGCTGAGCCCCTATTGTGTGCCAGACATAGATCTAGAGCTGGGTCCCTACTGTGTGTCAGATGTGGATCTAGTTGGGAATATAACAGCAATCCTAGAAGTGCAAAACTGCATCTTAGATTTCAGTGGTTAAGACTCCTCAATTACTTGATATAATTTTAAACACGATTTTCCTTCTCTTTCTCAAAAACAACAAATTTCTCACAAAATTGAAATGAGCCCTGATTGCTACTAGGTTCTTGCTAAGTAGATCATGGTGTTAAGCTATCAGTGTTAAAAGATGATCGCTGACGTATGCATTCATAGAATTTGGTTTAATCAGCACATATAAATGGGAAGCTGGAAAAGAATGAGAGTGAGATTTCCCTGTTGACAAAATGATGCGCTATTTTTTTTCCTGACTAGAAGGCCAGCAAAGACTGTGAGGATTCTCAGGAATCAGATGTAGCAGAGGATGGAGTGCAGAAATGCTTGCAGAGTGAAGTCATTCAGTTTATGCCCCCCCTCCCATTTCTCTCTCTCCCTCCCTCTCTCTCTCTCTCTTTCTGTTTCTTTCTGTGTGTCTCTGTCTCCCACATCCACCTCTCCATATATACATATGTGTCTGTATCTCTGAATATGGCATCTCCTACCGACCCTGAGGTTCCACCTGTATCACTTGGTGCATTCCTGGAGTGCATGTTTCTGGGATCCTCCTTTGACTGCTGTCGTATCTTAACTTCTTTAAAGAATTAGAGATCGAATCTTCAGAAAATTAAGATACACATTTTAATCATTTAAAGGCTTCTTTTTGTTGTTTCATCACTTGCTAATGACTACAACTTAAATCCTTTCCACAAAAGCTGTGTAGTTCAAATTCAGCAGGTCACTTTTGTGGGGAAATAAAAGGTGATCTCTACCTCATTCTGTTTGCTCCTAATTAGCCCTACTTCTGCCACAATCAATTTATTCAATAAGGCTCAACGTGACAATGTTGTCTTATGGCCTCTTGCCCCCACCATGTCTAATTTGTTGGAACCTCAAGAGAAGAGCCATGACCTTACCCAAGTCACACAATTAAGACTTTGCACTTGTAGTCACTGACACATCAGTTGCACAACTCCTCCTCCAAGGAGGAGGTGTGGAGGTTCTCTCTGTGGCCTGCTCTCCAGCTCTAGCTCACTCATGAAAGGAGAAATATGTTCTTGTTAGCTTTCAAAGAAAGTGCGTTGTTTAATTTGAGGATGTTTAAAATAACTATTTAACCTATACAGAAGCTAGTTTCAACCTATTAAAAATGGCCACCACTGAAGGTAAGTAATGCTTAGTCATTAAGTCTGTGTTTTAGATTTATATTAGGAAACCTCATGCATACTTTTAGTTCAATGTTGCTGTCAAATAATGATTCTGATCACTAACTATCTTTTTAAAGGTAAATTAGTATTATTATGAAAACATGAAAATGAAAAATTAATAATCATCTCCTTTTAAAGAGTCCTTTCAAATGAATCTATGGATTGGTTATGTAGGTTTGTATCTAGTTTTTAGTGAATATTTTTATTTGGCCCAGTCAAGCAAATAATTATTACTGAACTTCTTTAATTTCTGTGTCTGTTCCTTTTTTTTTTATTCCAGATCAGAAATATAAGTAAACTGGTGGGAGTCTCCAAAACCAATTCCTTACAGCTAAGTAAAAAATATGAAAAACCAAAGTGAATTGAGGAAGATCAAATGAATCTTTTTCCCCCATTTCTTAAATTTATTGTCTCATACAATACATCCCAACCTCAGTTTCCCCTTCCTTCACTCCTTTCAATCCCCACCACTCCTTACCTCCCCTCTTCTCTAGATCCACTCCTCTTCCATTTCTCTTCAGAAAGAGAGAGCCTTGCAGGGATATCAACTGAACATGGCATAACAAGTTACAATAAGACTAAGCTCAAACCCTCTTATCAAGGCTGGACAGAGCAACCTAGTAGGAGGGAAAAGGTTCCAAGAGCAGGCAAAAGTGTCAGAGACAAACACCACTCCCATTGCTAGGTGTCCCAAAAGAACACCCAGCTAACAACCATGTATGTAGAGGACCTAGCGCAGACCCATGCAGACTCCATGATTGTTACTTCAGTCTCTGTGAGCTCCTATGAACCCTGCTTAGTTGATTCAGTGGACTGTGTTCTCCTGGTGGCCTCAACTCTTCTGGCTCCTACAATCCTTCCTCTCTCCCTTCCTCCAGGTTCCCCAAGCTCCAAGGGGAGAGACCAAATGAGAGAAGCCTCTCTGATGACAATTGGGCTAAACACCCTTCAATCTAACAGCCAGTTAGCTTCTTTCTTTCTTTCTTTCTCTCTTTCTTTCTTTCTTTCTTTCTTTCTTTCTTTCTTTCTTTCTTTCTTTTTTCTTTTTTCTTTTTTCTTTTTTCCTTTTTGGCCTTTCAAGACAGGGTTTCTGTGTGTAGCCTTGGCTATGCTGGACCTCACGCTATAGACCAAGCTGTCCTCAAACTCCTGCTTCTGCCTCCCAAGTGCTGCTGGGATTAACAGCATGCACCACTACCTCCCAGCAATTTTTTGTCATTTTTTAAAGGACAAAATGTACTCAGATCAGTCATGGTGATGCACACCTTTAATCCCAGTGCTCAGGAGGCAGAGGCAGACAGATGTATGTGAGTTCAAGGCCAGCCTGGTCTAGATAACTAGATTCAGGCTAGCCAGGCTGCAAAGTGATACCTTGTCTCAAAAAAAGAAAAAATAATTAGTACTCAAAATTCATAACCATTATAAATCATAATAATTAGAAATTATGCACCTAACTTAGAGAAAAAAGTTGAACATTTAATCTTTAAAGTTTTTAAAGAGAAACTCAAAGTGTTTTCTATATATTTAGCAGTAAATCCTAGAATTTAGTTAAATTTCAAAACAAGTGAATGTATTTAATGTTGTTTTAAAAAGAAGGAGGAGGAGGAGGAGAAGAAGGTCTAGCATGTTAATGTCAAGATTCATTAATCTTCTTTAGTGACAGAAATGACTTAAGAGCAAAACTTGCCAGATTTTGGTTAATGTCAAATACTGTCATAAGATGGCATAAAAATTGTTTAAACAATTGATTATTAAGTATTTCAAGTTTCTGTTTGGCTGTCTGGTTGGCTGACTGGAAGAAAAATTTAGAATCAGGATTCCTTATACTGTGTTGGGGAGAGAATTGCTTTGAATCCCAGAGAACTATGAGTTAAAGGTAAACCATACATCAGAAATTCAGTCAGGGTCAGTACACCAGAAGATAGATAGACCTTGGACTTATTTTCACAGTCATTTCCACATTCAATACTTAGCACTCTGTGTGAATTCGTTGACAACTGAGGTATCCATTGCACTCTGCAGTCACTTCAGTACCTGTGGAGTTTTATGCTTGTAAGAGGCCCCAGTGCCCAAGTCTTTTCCTATCTCCATGTTTCTACAGGTCATGTCAGCATCTTTTAGTTTAAGTTTTCACAATAAGAAGAACTCAAAGCCTGGGAGATGGCTCAACAGGTGAAAGTGCTGTGGCCCGAGCATGAAGGTCTGAGGTTGAATCCCCAGCACTCATGTAAAACGCCAGGCGCAGCATGAATACTAACAGCCCTCGCACTGGAATACAGAGAAAGGAAGAGTGCTGGGCCTCACTGATCATCCAGGCCAGCTGAATTAGTGACAGACCCTGCTTCCCAATGGAAGTGTGAGAGCAGCTGGGGAAGGAAGACACTCGCCTTTTGGCACTATCCTCTGGCCCCTCATGTATGCACAAGCATGCACTCACACACATGAGCACACAGAGAAGAAATCAGGCAAGAGTGACCTTTCACTAACAGCCAGTTAAAATGAGTGGCATGGAATCAGTCTTCTGGACCCATTATTTGTTCAACGGCAAATTAACCAATGAACAGTCTGAAGGACTGAGGTTGGCCAAACACAGATCCCATCAATGTTTAGATTGAGAAGGACTTTAGTAATTCCTGTAGATGCAAGTCTATTCAAACACCAAAAAAAATAACCAAAGTTGTCAAATCCATTGTATGAGTGGTAGCATGTGGTCATGGAAGAGATACACAGTGTACTTCCCTTCTAATTCATCGGTTGTTAGGTATAGGTCCTTATTGTTCCTGAATAAAAAGTCCAATGGATTGATCCAGAAGAACTGAAAAAAGTCTATGTACAGGTTATTTTAATTTAAGGCACAGATAACAGTTATTAAAACTAGGCATAGAGGAAAAAAAAACTTTTTCACACAAGAAACTCTACTATGCTCAAAGTCCCAAGCCCCCTGGTATCCAGGCCTTGCAGTGCCCTTTCATGCCCAATGCCTCTCTTCTTTGCCTGGCTCTAATTGGCCCAAATAAAATGATCACTGGTTTGGTCATTATGATTTCTGCTTTGCTCTCTGAATCTTAAAAACAAGTTACAGACTGGGCGGTGGTGGTGCACACCTTTAACCCCAGCACTCAGGAGGCAGAGGCAGGTGGATCTCTGTGAGTTTGAGGCTAGCCTGGGCTAGAACTCACTACAGAGTGAGTTCTAGGAAAGGCACAAAGCTACACAGAGAAACCCTGTCTCAAAAAAACCACACACAAAAAAGGTTATATGTCACTTGTCCCAGAAAAGTTCTAGATACAAACATTTAAATCTATAATTTTATAATAAATGCAAAACATGTTTGATGAAAGAATCATCAACTAGGTTTGCTTTTTACTGGAATTTATATTAATTAGAAAAAGTTGCTATTTCTTTAAAGTACTGTCTAAAATGTGGTTTTAATTCATTCACAAAAATGTTATTGTTCATTTCAACAATATTAGAGAATAAAATATTACGTTTATATTAAGTAAAACAACTAAAGTAAAAATAACTTCATAAAGGATCTGCTGTATATTCATATCACATCACTCAAATGCCAAAACCCTCAGCATGGGAGGGGTGGGGCTGAAGCAGGAGGACTGTGAGTTCAAAGCCAACCTCAGCAACATAGAGAGATTCCTGTTTCAAAACATAAAAATAAACTGAGTTGGGCATGGTGGTGTATGCCTTTAATCCTAACATTTGGGAGGTGTAGTAGGTCCAGGCCAGCCAGAGCTACAAAGTAAAACCCTGTTTCGAAAAGAAAAGAAAAGAAAAGAAAGGAAGAGAAAAGAAGACAAAGAAGAAGAGAAAAGAAAAGAAAAGCAGCTGGGTGGTGGTGGTGTATGCCTTTAACCTTTAATCCCAGCACTTGGGAGGCAGAGGCAGGCAGATCTCTAAGTTTCAGGCCAGCCTGGTCTACAGAGTGAGTTCCAGGACAGCCAGGGCTACTCAGAGAAACCATGTCTCGAAAAACCAAAGCAAAACAAAAAAGAAAAAAGAAAACCAAACAACAGCAAAAATAACAACAAACCAATGCCAAAACCCTTCTGAGGATCCCATTGTCTTCTGAGCAAAGTTTAATTAAGTTCATTAGCTTCACATTTACAAATGTGTGTCCTCTGCCTTTCCAGGCCCATTTAAACACACTGCTCTCCTGAAAAAGATAGCTCTTCCCCTCTCTCTTCTGCCTCACTCTCTCTGCCTTTCTCTCCGTGTGTCTCTCTCTTTCTCTCTTTCTGTGCCTCTCTCTCTCTCTGCCTTCTCTCACACTCTGTATGTGTGTGTATGATCTCTCTCTCTCTCTCTCTCTCTCTCTCTCTCTCTCTCTTTCATTTTAAAACAGCACTAGAAATTGAACCCTGGCCCTCACCCAAAACACTATGCAAGCAATAAATTATTGAGCTATGTTCACAGCTCTCCTTTTTCATGGTTTAATTTCAAGACAATATCTGCCTAAGTTGCCAAGTTGGCCTTGAACTCACTTTAGCCCAGATTAGCCTTGAACTTGTGATCCTCCTGCCTCAGCCCCCTGAATGCTATGACTACAGGTATGTGCCACTAGGCCCAGCCATGTAGTTTCTCAAACCATGAGCTGTGCCTTGTACAAGTCCTTTAGCTCAGAACACCTCTTTCCCTTTCCATGGATTTGACCTGCTGTCTTCCAAGACTGAGTTCCTATGCCTATTTCAAATCCTTCATGATGCATTTCTTCTTCCTCCAAACCCACAGAATTTTGCCTTGCAATAGGATCAGAATTTCTTCTGTTCTGTGGTCAGGATTTACATACAATGTAAATCCCAACTTGACCATAAACCACTGAAAATAAATACAGTGTCTGATGCATGCTAAGTTTCCCTGTGTTCTAGCATTGTGTCCTGTGCATGGCAAGTGGTTAGTAAGGAAAGCAACAAATGAGACCACATTGTCACAGAACACCCTGATTGCCTGTCTTCCACTTTGATTCTCAAATAGGGCCAGTTTGACTTTTTGGAAAAGCCAAGGAATACCTGGATTTGAAAGTGTCTTTATGTTATTCATAGTAGTCACATTGCTTTCTTAGAACAGGCCTTGGAGAGTAGCATTAGAAATTGTTACACAATTTAGTAGATGAACAAAGATGGTAAGCCTTTTTACAGTAGTATGTGGGATAATCTTTTTGTATACTGTGAAGATGTGTCTCTGCTAGGGCATCTTCTGACTGGTTTAATAAAGAGTTGAATGGCTAGTAGTTAGGCAAGAGAGGATAGGTAGGACTTCTGGGCAAAGATAGGAACTCTGGGAAAAAGAGAGGTGGGATTAGTCACACAGACACAAAGGAGATCAGACATACAGTGTTGTATGATATTTTGTTCAGACAAATAAAGCTTGCCTGGAGTTCAGAGGGCAGGGATAGCCACTAGTTAACCATAGAGACCAGGCAGTGGTGGCACATACCTTTAATCCCAGCACTTGGGAAGAGGAAGCAGGAAGATCAGGAGTTCAAGGCCACTCTGGGCTACACAAAATTGAATCAGTCTAAAAGAGAAACAGAGCCAGGCAGTGGTGGTGCATGCCTTTAATCCCAGCAATCGGGAGGTGGAGATAGGATCTCTGCCCCATTCAGTCTGAGGATTCCTAGAGAAAGGATTCCACCCCCCTCCACCGCCATTCAATCTGAGGATTCCTAGAAGTAAGAAGTCTGTCTAGTGGCTGGCTGCTCTGCTTCTCTGATGCTTCAGCTTTCACCTCTAATATCTGACCCTGGGTTTTTATTGTTAATTGCTTTAATACAGTATGGAAGAGAAGTAAAAAGTCACATGGCAGAATGTAGATTAATATAAATGGGTTAATTTAAGTTATAAGAGCTAGTTAGAAACAAGCCTAAGCTAAGGCTAAGCTTTCATAATTAATATGAAGTCTCTGTGTTATTATTTGGGAGCTGGTAATACAAAGAAAATCCAACTATTAAGGTGGTGGGTTAAAATGGAGTTGTGTCAGCTTAAAATGCATGATTCTCCATCTCATTTGTTGTGTTTAGATTGAAATGGCAGACACCTAAACCCCTTAATTGGTTTTGAATATGCACTTCAACATTCCTCAGAGGAAATTTTGGAGAATATAACTATGTTCCAAGTCTTTAGTTTTCCATGCTTCTAGTGGGCATTTGTTCAATAAGTATTCTGCACTACAAAACAGTACTTCTTTCTCACAGAGAGAAGGGGTGATTGAGAATGAAGAGGCCTCTAAAGGACATAGTCTTCCCTTCATTTTCTAGGGACACATTGTCAAATGCGGGTATATTTGACTTAAGGGTTATTGTGGTTATATGAACATGGCACAGTGTTTGCTAAGGGAATATGATTGTCTAATTCCTACCTTCTTGTTTAGAGGAAAGCATGCCTGCAGAAGACATAAAAAGTGTAGCAAATCATGTACTTGACATTCACTTTCCAATAACATGGCAAATTCTAACCCACAAGCTTGACAAAATACAGAAACTTCTGCAACTCTGTAAGACAACAGTACAGATGAGGAGAGGCTCACCAAAGCAAAAGATGAAACCCAAAAGCTAATAGTGAAGGCAATGCAGCTGAGTAAGTTGCTGTGTTAATACTCTTGCCTCCCACTTGCAGATCATCTTCTAAGAAGCCAACTGAAGAAGTGTTTGCTAGGCTGCTATAGCATGTAATCAAATTATCCTGCAGGAGCTTCATGTACAAATTGGAGGCTGAACTCTTTCTAAACAATGCTGGCAGCTGGGAGGCAGAGTGTAGTGATGCTTGCTCTCTGTTTTCCTCAGACTCTAAATGTCTGTGGTGGTTTGAATGGGAATGGCCCTCATAGGCTCCTGTTTGAATGCTTGGTCTCAGTTGGTGGATCTGTGTGGGAAGGATTAGAAGATGGATCTACTTTGTTGAAGTAGATGTGGCCTTGTTGGAGGAGGTGTATCACAGGGGGTGGGCTTTGAGGTTTCAAAAACTCACACCAGGCCCAGTCTCTCCAGTCTCTCTCTCTCTCTCTCTCTCTCTCTCTCTCTCTCTCTCTCTCTCTCTCTCTCTCTCTCTGCCGATCAGGATGTAAATCTCTCAGCTATGGCTCCAGTGCCATACTTGTCTGCCTCCTGCTGTGATCATTGACTAACTCTCTAAAACTGTAAGCAAGCCCCCAATTAAATGCTTTCTTCTATAAATTCCCTTGGTCAAAGTGCCTCTTCACAGCAATAGAACAGTAACCAAAACAATGTCTTTCTAGTGTTTTGAAACCTCAGAATATCAATGTGTACCAAGAAATGTCAGGTACCTACTCATATGCCAATATTTTAACAGGTAGGTATGTTAGATTCTGCCTTGGCCCAAGCACTTCTAGTAATACTTTGCAAATGTCTGCTTCATGTTCCACTCTCCTGGTATGGGCTGCTCTGGTTGTTTTGAGCCGCCAGATCTAAGTATCTGGTAAATATTCACTGAGGTGAGCTTGTTCTGAAAAAATGGTCTGTATCACTTGGAATGATTGTGATTTTAACCTTTGACTAGGCCGCTGAGCTGCTGGAATGTCAGTGAGGATAAATAACCCTGAGCAAACAGTCAGAAACTCAGCCCTTTGGTCCTCCAGCTCTTGTTCCTCTCCTGTGAGGCCTCTCCACCCTCCCACCCCCACTCTACTATGACTTAGCGAAGGCTGCATGCCTTTGAAAAATCAGAGTATAGGAATTGACTTTCATGTGCAAAGCAGTTGTATCTGGTGAAATCTATATGTCCTGGATATGTATGTGTGATGCTAATGGCATTTACATATAAATCTTGTTTCTCAAATAAAGACTTCAGCATTTTGCTTTGCTTGAGAGGAATTTAAATTGACTATAAATATAATTCAGTAAAGTTTTTGGTTGAGTCTCTGGAATTCTCAAGGTGAAGTAAATGAATAATGGCATAGTTATCTAATCTGATATGTTAATATCTTACTTTAGAAAAGAAACAGATGTTAAGACTTGAGGAAACACTGAACAGGATACAACAAGCCCATATCACTCCAGGCCAGGCAAATTCAACTATCACACAGTTGGCTGCTGAGATAACAAACATAAAGAAGAATGCACTGCAGGAATTTTATCTTCTCCAAAACTACCCTGAAATAGATTTGAAGGTGGAAAACACAATTGTTTTTGCACATGATAATATCATTCTTGCCCCACCTGTCTGATGGAATTGTAATGAGGATACCTTGAGATTTTGGTGGGACTATGTACTTACTTAATGTTGTACATTAATGTCAATAATTTTGTTATATTGATATTAATGGAATTATGCATCAGATTATTGTGCAAGAAAACCCTTCTAAGCATGACCTGGGACAGGGATGGGGAAAGCATGTAGCAGGTACTACCACCAGCTTAGGAAACTAAGACTCAGAGAAATTATGTGATTGTCTCAGGTCACATGGCTACTTAATGGTAGATTTGTGGATAGCACTTTTCCATTCTGCTGGAGGACAAACCTAAAAACTCACAAACTGCCAAGTGGTGGTGGCGCACGCCTTTAATCCCAGCACTCAGAGAGGCCGAGGTAGGCAAATCAATGTGAGTTCAAGGCCATCGAGGCTAGCCTGTCTCAAAAAACAAAATATAAACAAACAAACAACAACAACATAAACGAACTCACAAACCATAGATGATTCTGAATGGATTCCTGGTTACAAGGTTGTTGCAGCTTATCTTGAGTAAAGCTGAATGACTGCTTCATAGTCAGTAGAAGCAAGGCCTGTTTCAACCATGAGATGACACAGGAAGAGAAAGACTTAACCCCATGGTGTAATGGATCCTCCCCAGATCCATCTTCTGTCATATGCCCTTCCTTACAGGGCTCAGAGTCACTGGATCCCCATGCTTCAGCTGTATTTCTCTTTCTGAGAAGAAAAGGCAGTAAGGAAGAGAATAGCAGGCAGTATACCATGAAGTGGTCATGGAGGAAGAGGCTTTAGAAGAGGGAGGCCCCAACTTTCTTTTTCCTGATACACACTCTAGAACAGAAGTTGGGAAAATGCAGCCAGCCAGGGCCATATTGTCTGTGGCTGCTTTGAACAGCAATGCCCCAGAGCCAGAGAGTAGCAACAGGAACTCTCTGGGACCACAAAACACAAAACATTTATCACTTCTCTTTTTACAGAAACAGTGCTCAATCTCTTGCAGTAGAAGAACTTCCACTTATACCTAAGAGCATGGATTTCCATATCTCAGAAGATAGTAAACCAATACCTTAAAGAATGCTCCTCATAGAAAGAAACTAAAAAATGTTTCACAGGTGTTAGTAAGAAGCTAAAGTTTCCTCAGAGGTCAGAACAACAGGCAAGCATGAATTCAGAGAGCCAAGCAAGCATGTACCTAACAAGGTTAGAAGGTGCCTGCCAAAAGCAGTCTCTCTCTTTCCCCCTGTCTTTCTTTAGCCAATAAACTTGCCTCTGGGTAGGGAGTACTCAGTATCCTACATGAATTGCTATCCAAGCCGGCAGTGGTGGCGCTCACCTTTAATCTCAGCACTCTGGAGGCAGAGGTAGGCAAATCTCTGTGAATTCAAGGCCAGCCTGGTCTACAAAGCGAGTTCTAGGACAGGCTGCAAAGCTACACAGAGAAACCCTGTCTCTGAAAAAAACAAAAAAACAAAAAAAAAAAAAAATTGCTATCCAAAGTTGGTGCTTGTGCTGGCTAGTTTTTGTGTCAACTTGACACAGGTAGAGTCGTTTGAGAGGCGGGACCTCAGCTGAAAAAATGCCTCCCTAAGATTGTGCTGTTGGGCAGTCTGTAGAGCATTTTCTTAATGAGCAGTTGATAAGAGAGAACCTAGCTCATTGTGGGTGGTGCTACCTCTGGGGCAATGATTCTCTGTGCTATAAGAAAGCAGGTTGAGCAAGCCATGAAAAGCAAGCCAGTAAGTCACTTCTGCCTCCAGGTTGCTGTACACTTTGAGTTCCTGCCTTGGCTTCCTTCAATGGACTATGATTCAGGGTATGTACGCTAAATAAACCCTTTCCTCTCCTAGTTGCTTTTGGTCATGGTGTGCTGTAGAACAATCCTTCTGTACACTGTGAATATGTATTACTCTCATTGGTTAATAAAAAGCTGACAGGCTAGCCGGGTGGTGGTGGCACACACCTTTAATCTCAGTACTCGGGAGGCAGAGCCAGGCCTCTGTGAGTTTGAGGCCAGCCTGGTCTACAGAGCAAGATCCAGGACAGGCACCAAAACTACACAGAGAAACCATGTCTCGAAAAACAAAAAAACAAAAACAAAACAAACAAACAAACAAAAAAGCTGACAAGCTGCTAGTTAGGCAGAAAGTTAGGCAGGAAAATCAAACTGAGAATGATAGGAAGAAGGAGGGTGGAGAAGTCACCAGACCGACACAGAGGGAGCAGGAGATGAATGTGCCATCCCTTTATTATAAAGGTACTGCCAGTTTCTCAGAACATTGGCAATCAATCTACTTCAAGACCCAATGATATCACTCTTGGGCATATACCCAAGGAATGCTGAATCTTACTACAAGGATACTCTTGCTCAACTATGTTCATAGCAGCATTATTCGGAATACCCAGAACCTGGAAACAACCTAGATGCCCCTCAACTGAAGAATGGCTAAAGAAAATGTGGTACATATACACAATGGAGTACTACTCATCAGTAAAAAAAAACAAAAAAAAAAAACAATGACATCATGAAATTTGCTGGCGAATGGATGGAACTAGAAAATATCATCCTGAGTGAGGTAACTCAGACTCAGAAGGACAAACATGGTATGTACTCACTCTTAAGTGGATACTAGATATAAAGCAGAGGACAATCAGACTGCAACCCACAGATCCAGAGAGGCTACCTAGCAGGGAAGACCCTAGGATGACTGTGGATTATAATAAGTTTTGGTTTTGCCCAATCACTGGGCAAGCTTTAGTGAAACATAACACTATTAGGAAAAGAATTTGTACTGTATCAAGCTGATGAAAGAATATGCTGGCTGTACCTTCGGAGGGGAGGCTAAAATCTTTTTAGATTAAGGATTATCCTATAGAAAAATGTCTGCCATAAATCAAACAGTGAAGGGAAAGATGAATAGGAATCTCCCACAACTTAAGTAAAACATAGCTCTCTGAACAGATGAAGATAGGTTTCTTCTGTATCCCAGAATCTAATCAATATTTATATGTATAACTCAGCCATTATTTGCCTTAAAGGGACTAATTGGGAAATGTTATCATTTTTACTATTTTTTTACAGAGAAAATATTTTCTAGTTTCAAATAACCCTGGACTTTTGAATTATAACCTGTTTTTATGTTCAAGCTATCTGTGTATTATTTCTCCTGCAGTTGTACAAAAAAATGTTTTTACAATAAAAAAGACAAATACTATAGAATTGTATTACATGAAATATATAGAATATACAAATTTATAGACAGAAAGATTAGACATTATCTCAAGATGGAGAAGAAAGGATATAGAACAATGATTTCCTAAGTACAGATTTTCTGTTTTGTGTGATAGAAAAGCCCCACAAATGGACAGTAGTATCAGGACATAATATCATGAATGCAATAAATCAATACAATTAATGTAATGAATGAATATCATAAATATGGCTATTGAATGAAAACTGCAAATGTAATCAATGAATACCACAAATGTAATTAATATCATGAGTGTAGTTAATGAATATCATGAGTGTAATTAATATCTTGAATGTAATTCATGCCACTGAATTGTGAACTTAAAAATGGTTACAATTGCAAATATTACATTCATTAAAAAAATAAGGTGGAATGTAATCACCATACTTATGAAATTGAAGACAATGATGTTCTAAAATAGAAAGTGGTGATGGTGACATGAGCCTATGAGGATGCTGGACTAAAGTCTATCTAGTTGTGCAAGCAGGCAAATTGTATACTATGTGAATTATTTGTCAATAAAGATTTTATAAAATATTTTTAAAAAAGGATAACCAGACTACAACCCACAGCTCCAGAGAAGCTAGCTAACAAGGAGGACCCTAAGAGGGACACATGAATCGCCCTGGGAAGGGGAAATAGATGAGATCTCCATGAGTAAACTGGGGATGAGGGCAGGCAGTGAAGGGTAGGGGATGGAGGATGAGAGCATTAGGGAAAGGGATGGTCCAGCTGGGGGAGAAACAGAATGGGAGAGCAATGAAAGAGATATCTTGATAGAGGGTGACATCATGGGGATAGGGAGAAACCTGGTGCTAGGGAAGTTCCCAGGAATCCACAAGGATGACCTGTTAGACTACTAGCAATAATGGAGAGGGTGCCTGAACTGGCTTACCCTAGAATTCAGATTGGTGAATATCCTAACTGTCATCATAGAGCCTTCACCCAGGAACTGATGGAAGCAGATGCAGAGATCCACAGCCAAGCACCAGGCCAAGCTCTAAGAGTCCAGTCAAAGAGAGGGAAGAGGGATTCTATGAGCAAGGGGCATCAAGATCATGATAGGGAAACCTACAGAGAAAACCAAACCAAGTTAGTGGGAACTCATGAACTTTAGACCAATAGCTGTGGAACTTCCATAGGACTGGACTAGGCCTTCTGCATAAGCAAGACAGTGTGTAGCTTGATCTGCTTAAGGGGCCCCTGGCAGTAGGATCAGGATCCATCCCTGGTACATTAGCTGGCTTTTTGGAGCCCATTACTTATTGGGGGGACACCTTGCACAGCCTTGATGCAGGGGGAAGGGCTTGGACCTGCTTCAGCTGAATGTATCAGGCTCTGCTGACTCTCCATGGGAGGCCTTAATTTTTCAGAGGAGAGATTGGGGGGTGAGCAGGGAGCCTTGGGGGGCAGGAGGAGGGAAGAGAAGGCAATCTGTGATTGGTATGTAAAATGAATAAAAAATTTCTTAATAAAAAAAGATTTTTAAAAACATAAGCAAACAAACAAACAAACAAACAAACAAACAAATAAATAAATAAATAAAGGTACTGCCACATGGCAGAGCATAAATAAGAAATATGGGTTAACTTAAAATGTAAGAGATAGTTAGTAATAAGCCTGAGCTACCAGCCTAGCATTTACAATTAATATAAGCCTCTGTGCAGTAATTTAGAAATAGTTCCTGGAACAGGAAAACTCCACCTACAATGGTGTTTCATCACAACTGTAAAAAAGTAACTAAAACAGCTCTCATATGAGTTTGGAATTAGGATTCACACCACCAAAGTATCGCCCAAATCCAAACTAAAAATGTCATTGAAAGTGGTTCTGGTCAATTAGTGTCCTCCGATGCCAGACAGTGGCAGAAATGCCCTTAGGACCTTGAACCAAGCCTCCAAGAATCAAAGAAAGTATAGAGTATGACCACTCAACAAAACACAGGATAACCCGTCAGATTTGTAAAACAATTAAACAGAAACTCTAGATACAACCCATAGTCAGCAGGAGGAAAGGATCAAACATAAGACGTTTGTATGTTTTGTTGTATGGGAAAATGTGGATGCTACCTGGACCAGATAAAGAATAGGAAATGTATTCAAGCAACAGATACATTAAATGAGTAAAAATGAATAAACTAAGAATATATAGAGAGATATTTGTATATAATACACACACACACACACACACACACACACACACACACACATATATATATATATATATATATATATATATATATATATATATATATTAACCTGGGTAACCCACATAAACATTATTTATGTATGTGGGGTGTGTGGAAGGGGTGTCCATATGGGTAAGTGCACTTATACATGTAGGGTGTGTGACTGTCCATATGGGTATGTGCACTTGTGCATGTGAGATGTATCTTTCCTATGAGTATGTGCACTTGTGCATGTGGTGTGTTTGTGTATGTGTCCATCCATATGGGTATGTGTACTTGTGCGTGTGTGTGTGTTGTATGTGTGTGTCCACATGGGTATGTGCATATATGTGCACATGCACATGGATGCCAGAAGTTGACATGAGGTGTCTTCCTCAATAATTTCCCCCTTAACCTAATAACTCTCCTATAAGAATTCATGGACTCAACTATGCTGGCTGACCTGTGAATCTAGTGATCTGCCTGTTTCCTCCTTCCCGGCACTGGGGTTATAGCCACACAAAAGTTTATGTAGGTGCTAGAAATCCAGACTCAGGCCTTCACACTTGTGCTGCTAGCACTTCACTGACTAAGCCACGCATATACACCACACAAGCATAATTTTGAATTAAAAAGTTGTACAAGGTGTGTAACATTGTATTTTGCATAGGATTAAAATTTCTAGCACACCTTTAATCCCAGCACTTATGAGGCAGAGGCAGGTGGATCTTTGTGATTGAGGCCAGCCTGGTCTACATTATGAGTTCTAGAATAGCCAGAGCTATATAGTTCAACCCTGTCTTGAAAAAACAAAATAAAGGGGCTGAAGAAATGACTCAGCAGTTAAGAGCACTACTCTTCCAAAGGACTTGGGTTCCAGTTCCAGAGGATCTGCACCCTCACACATGCAGGCAAAACACCAATGCACATAAAAATAAATAAAATTTTTTAAAGAAAAGACAAAGAAAGATAGAGAAAGAAAAACAAAAAAGCAAACACCTCAAAACTTCTACATACAAAGTATGACTAGGAAAACTGCCCAGGATATAGTATAAAGCCTGCAGGAATACACAGAGTGTCGAGAATGAAATTAGGCATAAGGGTGGCTGCCTTGGAGTGGAGGAGGGGACAATAAAATAGGGGCAGCACTCCAGGACTTGGTCTCACTGTCAGTGCTATATTCCTGAACTGGTTGGTAGAGACAGTGGTATTTGTCCTGGTTGTTTTTTCAGGGGCTTTTACGTAACATGGTTTTGTTTGATTGGTTTGGTTCATAAGGAGATTTTACTTTCTTTCTGGTCTTTAACCCAACAACAAGTTAAAACTCAAGCCAAGAAAATGAAGGCTCAGCTGGATTTAGCAAAGTCAACAAAACAAAACAAAACTTGTCAGAGCTGGATCCAGGAGCAACCCAGCAGGGCAAGGGTCCTCATTTTTCTACCAGTATCCCCAGGATACATTGCTTCTTTGCAGTTTAATCATTTAACTCCAGACCCTTGGACCATTACCTAGAATTCCCTTTATTGATGATTCACACTCAGTGGTATATGTTCATAAGCTCCTTATGTGGGGAGGGGGGGATCTTGTGCAGCAGCAGACAGCAATCTCTGACCAGATCCCATTGGGGGGTTTCCTCCCCACCTACCTGTCCTAATCTGCTTAATGGTGTCCTAGTCACAGAATCCATCTGTTGCAATTTTCCTAAATGTAAATACTTTAGTATTTTCTGTTATTAATCTACATTGTGTATATCTGCCCTTTGATTCAGTCCCACAGCATATAAATAAAACAGTAAAGGAAAGTCACCCACCGAAGAGATCAAGTTACAAACATTAGGCTGAGTTAATTAGCGGCCTGTGCAAAGTGTTCACTCATTCAAGTTGTTGAAAGGACCTATCAATTCACCTTCTTAGTAGGAAGTCTTTGATTGGCTGATGAATACAGTGTAGCTTACACAAAAGGAAAATGTTGGGGGTTTTACAACTGATCTGAATTGCTTTGAATTCCTAGTGTGCTAGGTACTTTCCATTGCCTGAGGAGCTGAAAACATCTATTACAGAATAGATGTTGAGAAAGGGGTTTCATGCTCACCTGCTTCCCAGCTCCATCCTCCACACCCGACACAGCCTTTGTTTATTTTCTTACCTCTGGGTTATTAGCCATACATGCTGATATAAAAGATTCCTACTTGAATTACAGCAGAGCTTCTTACTTTCATTCCTACCTCTCACCTTCCCACATTTCTCTCTTTACCATTTGCCAATCAAATAACATATCCCACTGCTTCTAAATTTTCATTGTTCCATCCTTCATCTTGGACATGCAACTGTTTACTACAACTGAACCAGAGAGATTGGTCGAGCATAGATTAGGTCACTTCTGTCTTCTGTATCTCCCACTATAAAATACAAAAGAACAAACAACTGTGGACCCACTAATGATGCTTCAGTATGCAATAAAAATTAGTATTTTGTAACTAAAAAGTTTAATTAAAGCTGGAATTGTTTTCAATCTGTTTTTTTTTAATCATATAAATAGGCTGGGTCGTGGTGGTGCATGTCTTTAATCCCAATACTCAGGAGGCAGAGGAAGGTGTATCTCTATGAGTTTGAGGCCAGCCTGGTATACAAAGTGAGCTCCAGGACAGCCAGGGCTACACAGAAAAACCCTGTCTCAAAAAAACCAAAAAAAGAAAGAAAGAAAGAAAGAAAGAAAGAAAGAAAGAAAGAAGGAAAGAAAGAAAGAAAGAAAAAAAAGAAAGAAAGAGATAGAGAGAGAAAGAGAGAGAGAGAGAGAGAGAGAGAGAGAGAGAAAGAAAGAAAGAAAGAAAGAAAGAAAGAAAGAAAGAAAGAAAGAAAGAAAGAAAGAAAGAAAGAAAGAAAGAAAGAAAGAAAGAAAACATCTATATTCTGGGTGTTTTCTCTGAACATTGTTTTCTCTGTGTTTTTCTAGAAGTAACAGGAGAATCTTCGTGCAATGACAAGCTTTAGAAGTACTTTCTGATGATGATCCCGTGGCTCTGTTACAGGAGCTTGCTGAGCGAAAAATCAGTGTGTTCATCTTCAACATTATGACAAGCACTATGGGAAACTTCAAAGGAAACCTTATGAAGAAGGAGACAGCTCAAAGATGCTTCAGAGAAGCTTGCTGGAGATACAAAGGACAAGATAAAGAGGATAGCAGGTACCTACTCTTTCACCCACAATGTCAGTCTGACGGTAAATTATATCATAATACGCTATCTCTCTGCTAAAATGTAACACCCCTTTGAATTTGTCATTAATACAACTTAGCCTCAAATAAGTCCACTGAGAAATGAAACGTGTGGAAGGCTATAAAGTAATGAGCCTCTTGCATGGATTTTCCAAGGAAGGTACAAATGAGAACGTGCCTTGTTTAGTCAAAATGGCAATTCACTTGCATCTCCTTGAAATGTCCTTTCTTCAACTTAGTGTTTCTGACTGGAGATAAGACATCTCAAGACATTTTGTAAGGTCAGAGATTGCTGAACGTATTACAAAGCACAGGACAGGACAAGGACTGGAAATACAGCTCAGCTGGTAGACTGCTGGCCGAGTATGCAGGAAGACCTGGTCCAATCTCCAGTGCTGCATACACCAATGGTACAGTGTATGGGAGAAGCAGGAGGATCAGAAGTATAAGGTCATCCTTGGCTCCACAGCAAATGTGAGGCCAGGCTGGCAGTCAAACAAAACACAAAAAAACTCCTCAAAATAGGCAGTGATGCTGACCAGTGTCAGTAATGGAGAGGCTGAGAAACCTCATGTCTCACTAATTATGCTTATTTTCCTTCTAATGCAAAAAAATTAATCTCTTTGGGGGCTAGAATGATCTAGATTCTTGTGCATGAGTCACCTAACATAGGTCTACAGTAGATATCCAGAAGGAATTATTTTTCTGGGAAAGGGTTTTGATCAAAATGAAATTGTATGTATGTAGGCTATAGTAAGCATAAACTATAAATGACCAAAAAGAGAATTGGTCTGTAGAGATGGTTCAGTCAGTCAACTGTCTTTTTCCAAAGCATGAAGATATGAGTTCAGATCCCCAACATCCACATAAAGCCAGAAACAGATTGCCTGTAACCCTAAGTGAAGGGGTGAGTAGCCTATCCAGCTCCAGGTTCAGTATGAGAACTTGTTGAAAAAATAATGTGGTAAACAAAAAAAAAAAAAGGAGAGAGAGAGAGAGAGACTTGATGGCAACATCTATCCTTTGCACATGTGTGTACCCCCCACACACAAATACAAATACACTTGCACACACACAGCACACAGATATGCATGCAAAGAAAGAAGACATTATCTTCTTTTCTACACTGATAGTCATGATTTTTCTGGGTAGTCTTAAAATATTTGAATTCAACAGATATCAAAAAATGAGTACAGTGTACTACTCAGAGTCATATTTATTGTCTCCCCGAAGTTTAAAGCTAATGATATTTTTGCAGGATGAGTAACTCTTAAAATATTAAGTTAGACAGGACTCCTTAATTAAAAATGCATCTTTATTATGAAATGAGAATTACAACCACTTACATCATAGCTAGACACATATAAAATGAAAATGCAACATTAGTGTGGGGCAAAGTTAGGGAAATGCCATGAAATACTGTGCTACTATCACTATTTCAGGTGAAGAGGAAACTGAAATTTGTATTTATTTAGTTGTCTAAAAAGCAGAGGGCTTCAGGATTTTTTTTTCTTTTATCATTTTCAGTAGTTTCCTGAAAACTTTTCGAAGCAAACAGGAGAAATGGCTCAAGAAGGCTGGCAGAGGAGTGAGGGATTGAAGGAGTTTTACCTTACATTGTATAGCCAATATCATGAAAGTTCAGATACCTTCAGACCTTAGTCCTTACTACAGAGGCAAAAACACAAGAAGCATATTTCTGTCTATACTTTATGTCCAAATTGCTCCCACTTAGCTGCATTGATTGACACTTGCAATTCAGGAAATTAGACTGTAAGAGAAGTTTAAGCCAGAGCTCTCCCTGGGTATCTAAGAGTCTTGAACTTCTTAGAGGATCTGAGATAACACATTCCACTCCCTTTTCTCTTTTTCTTTAAGGTAGCTTATGCAATTCAATAAAGTAGGAAAATAAAATAGGGTTTGACTGTCATTCCCATCCTGCCACTTGAGAAGGACCCACACATCTATTAGAAACAGATGTCCACAGGCCTGCAGCCAGGGTCCTAGCAAGAAACAGAAAGCATGACTGCCATTATTCTGGGTGAGGTACTTAAAACTGAGGCATCCCTGTTAGCTGCTCACTACAGAAGCAACAACCCTAATTTGATAGCTTAAAATGGCAGCCATATCTCTTTTGTAGTGGGTTGCCTGTGTCCTCTTTCTGCACAAGCCATCTGGAATACGTGAGTAGATTAGCTCATCAGAGGGATCAGAGGGTCAGTTATGCCAGGGAATGACCTAAAATCCAAGCATGACTAATGCAATGGTCTCCTGACCCTGAGCACAGAAGATGGCCACTGAGGCCCAGCAACAACACCATTATCCCAGCTTCCACTGGTCAAGACAACTCCTAAAGTCAACCCAGGTTTAAGTGTATAAGAGTGGGAGAGAAAAATAGATTCTACATCTTTTCAAAAATTTTACAAATTTTGTTGTATTTATTTGTGTATTTGTGCAATGTGTATGCAGGCAGGTGAAGTATGTGTGCCACAGAATGTTTATGGAGGTCAGGAGACAACTTTCAAGAGTCAGTTCGCTGCTTCTACCAGATGGTAGTAAGTGCCTTTGTGGGCTGAGACATCTTGCTGGTTGTAGGTTGGAACAACGAAGGTTATAGAAGAACTTGGGGAGCTGGCTAGTGTTGTGCAGTGTGAATCCTTTAGCATCTCTAGACTCAAGAGGTAAGAGAAGCAAGAATGTTGCCATAGCCCTGTGAACCCTGGCACATTAAGAAAAGCTAGAGCAGAGAGAGAAAAGACTGCTGGGTTGTGAACAGGAATGAAGACTATTTGCTGGTCTCAGTATGATCCCTTGTCAACACATTTCTCCAGCCGTGTGAGCTTGTAAGCAGAGGTAGAGGAAGTCTGATGATGTCACCATGGAGGTTAGCTTTCCAGGACACTGAAGAAGACGGAGATTGGATCTGGTAGGGGGAATGAAAAGTAGCCTGTTCAATCATATCATTTACCTGGTAGAAACACAGGGGTCTCTTTTCAAACATGGTTCCAGGGTTGAATCCCCTTTTTAATTCCAAATGACTTACATTTGAATGTGTCTAGTGACAGAGCACTCACTACTTCCACACCAGCTCTTTTGAGCTTCAGTGGCTGCTATAACATCCTCTTTTATATTCAGAAAAAAAAAAAATCTTCCTTCAGCAACCTTTCAAATTGCTGCTTTTCATTTTAGTTCACCAGGATGACAGAGAACACATTCACTCTGGTTTCTGGGCTGGCTTTTCAAGTACTTGGAAAATAGCTATGTCACAGGCTAGGAATTTTTTTTTCTCTCCACATGAAAAAGCACGACAGCATTTGTTTAGAGAATGGTTTCCGATTTAGCCTGGCCCTTCGCTTTACCACATGCTAGTTTGACACTCTAAACTAACCTAGCCTTAGGGGCACTCTGAACAATGAAGTGGGGTACATTTACTTTCCTGCTTTTGGAAGGTCCACTTCTACCTAAGGTCTTCATGTTATCATCTGCAGCTCTCTACATCCCTTACATCCCTTATTCTGCAGGTTCTTCATTAAGATTTATAGAGATCTCAAATAATTGTTGCTGAGTGAAGAATAAGTGAATATGTAGACCAGTAGATAGATGGATCAATTGGTAATAAATTGATAAATGAGTATGAATGCAGCCAAAACAAAGCAAACAAAAAAAACCCTCAATTTGTTGTCACAGTTCAGGGACTTCCACGTCAGTAAAGACATTTCTTAAAAACTAGAAAAGTCCAAAGATCACATTTGCCATTCAGTGAAAGTAGTAAAAACAAAATACTTTGATTTGGAAAAATAGCAACAAGTCCACTCAAAGCTGCATGGGACTTTTCATTTCTAATCAACTCTAGCTATGGAAGGCACCTTTTTTATTATTTAATTGATTTGTTTTATTTGTTTGTTTTTTTGAGCCAGGGTTTCTCTATGTAGCCCTGGCTTAGGGAAATCAGAGATATTCCTGCCTCTGCCTCCCAAGTGCTAGGTTAAATGTGTATGCTGAATGGCATCTTTAAATGCCTTTTAATATAAAATTTTTGGACAAAAGTACCAGTTTTATTTGACTTATGGTATATAATTTTTGAGAAGTCTGCTGAAAAGGGATTTTATTTTATCCATTGAATCAAAACACATCATTAAGACACACAGAGATCTGTCTTTATTATGAAAAAACACAAGAAGGACCTATGAAGCAGACATAGATTATTCTTTTCATCTTCCTTCAGGTTTAGAAAAAAAGATAGAAGATTTGAGTCTAGGCAAATAAGAAAAAGACAAAGCTGACCAACTAAAACAACTGGAAAATCAAGTTGTTACTGTTAGAAATGAAATTGTTGAGAAAAAAAAAGAAATATGCCACCTGCTATAATTAGGTAAAGTCCAGATACAAAAGCTTGTGCCTGTGTTTCTGGCTTCTTAAGCACAAACCTGAGAGCTGTGGTGAACTGGGGGAACACTGAGGTCAGCCTCTTCGCCACCCAGCACTGCCACTGCCTCCTCACCCGGACTGCTCAGTGTGGCTGGAGGAAGTAACTGGGTCCGAGCAAAGCCATAGCAATGCCACTTCATGAGACAAGGAGACAAGGAGTGAGGCTGTTTCTGGCTTCAAAACCTTCCCTCTCTGCCTTTTCTTTTCCATAACTTAAAACAACCAGCTCATCTGCCAAGTGAAAATCTAAGTAAATTCTCTCTACTCAACAGTAATCATTGCCATTAAGTGAACATAACATTAAGTATTATCTCTAATGCTAGGAAGGCATATGGACAACGGCATGACTTAGTTTTTCTGATTTTCTGTTCATTTGAATTTGCTTTTTACTGTTAAAACTTTAATCTAAATAAAATGTAATGAAACTCAAAATGTACCTCCCCATCACACTTTACCACTCACTCTTCTCTAAACAAGAGAATTTCATTTTCCCCAAAAGGCACTGGAACAATATTTTAAAGGCATAAATACTGAGATACTTTTCATAATTTTTCTGTAGCCATTTTTGCTACAAAATCTGCTGTTTTAAAAAAGAGGATTAACAATCATGTTTTTATTGTTTAGTATAAAAGATTGACTGTCTCATGTCCAGTGAGTCTATAGTTTTGCATTCTTCATGGGTTCTTTTTCCGTATGTAATGGAGCATACCACTTCTGCTTGGGAATTCAGTCCTTCAGTGAGATTGTCTAAGACAGCTTGACCCCACATGAGCATATGCCAACACTGACATAGAAAAGAAGACAGCTGGAGTCATTTCTCCTAAGTACTGACTCATAAAAGTGGGACTTAAAAATTCAACAAAGGGCTTTGAGACTACAAATAACTATGAAAATTGTTAGAATGTAGGTGACTAAGGAAAACTGTAAAATCTATTTTACTGTGGGTCCTAAAGAACAGATGGAAACTTCTCTACAGAAGGACTACCCAGAAATTTCTCATCAAGTCTAAGTTGTAGAACTTTACTATCCAACAATGGGGCCTCCACTGAAAAATGTCAGAAAAATAGCCCAGAGAGTCAAAAATTATAACCACCATGAAGTCTGTTTGTATCTCCCCTCACCCCCTCCCGTGTGTGTGTGTGTGTGTGTGTGTGTGTGTGTGTGTGTGTGTGTGTGTGTGTGTGTGTTTGTCTTAGTTAGGGTGACTATTGCTGTGATGAAACACTATGACCAAAAGCAAGTTGGGGAGGAAAGAGTTTATTTGACTTATGCTTTCACATCACTGTTAATTATCGAAGAAAGGATAGGAACTCAAACTGGGTAGAAATCTGGAGGCAGGAGCTGATGCAGAGACCATAGAGAGAGGCTTGTTCATCATGGCTTGCTCAGCCTGCTTTCTTACAGAACTCAAGACTACCAACCCAGGGTGACACCACCCACAATAGGTTGGGCCCTCCACCACCAATCACTAATTAAGAGAATGGCCCACAGCCAGAATTTATGGAGGCATTTTCTCAATTGAGGCTCCTCCTCTCTGATGATGCTAGCTTGGGTCACATTGACATAAAGCTAGCCAGCACAGTGTTGATTTGAGTGTGGGCTCATGTGCTACCATAATGCATGTAGAGGTCAGAAGACACCCTCAGATGCTGGTCCTCACCTCCTACTTTGTTTGAAGCAGTATCTCATCACTCCCAGGGTAGCTGGCCTGTGAGCTTCATGGATGCTCCTGTCTCTGCCTCCTATCTCGCCACAGGAACATTGGAATTGCAGACCCACATACTACTGTATCTAGCTTTACATGGTTCTAGGAGTCCAGACTGGTCTTCACTACAAGGCAAGTGCTTAACCCATTGAGTCATCTCCCCAGCCCTAAATTGTTTTGGTTTTTTGTTTTCAGGATTTTTTGTTTGCTTGTTTTTTGGTGTTTTATTGTTGTTTGTTTTTAAGATAGAGTCTCTTGCAGTCTAGATGACCTTGAACGTTGCTATATAACCAAGGATAGCCTTGAACTTCTGCTCCTTCTGCCTCCTACAGAGTTCTGGGATTACAAGTTTATGCCACCACGAGCAGACATGGTTTGGGGATCGAACACAGGGCTTCATGCATGCTGAGCAAACACTCTACCAAGTGAGCTATATCTTCAGCCCTAAAAAAAAAAAAAAAAAAAAAAAAAAAAAAAAAAAAAAAAAAAAAAACTAAGTTCTTTACTCCAATATTAAGGGCAGGACAATTTTCTGCTTTCCCATTAGAGCACCTGCTTTTAAACTGGTACAAATTATAGACAATGTGAAAAGGGTGTGTTTATTTTTTTAAAAATTGTTTGTTTGCAATCGCACTATTCAATTATCCTTCTTTTACAGGGATCAAAGTCTACTCTAGGAATAAGTCCTAGAGTGTGGGAATGATTAAAGAATTTCTGTTTGCTGGATGATAAAACTAACTAGACATGGAGTTCTACAAAGTGAGCAGCAACCTGATGATTGACACCAAAGGCTGACCTCTGACTCCCACACACACTCATACACTTGTGCATACCTACACATACATGAACACACATACACATAATCTTTTTTGACAATTTTTAATAATTATTTATTTTTTAATTTTACATAATTCTTCATTGACTCTTGGGAAATATCACATCATGCATCCCAATTCCACCTACCTCCCAGTCCCTCTATATCTGACCCACATCCCAGCAGCATGCCCCCCAAATTAATTCAAAACAAAACAAACAAACAAAAAACCCATCTCCCTCCTCCATCTTTCCAACACTTCTCCCAGTGGCATCAGGAGCTGCAGTGTGTCACTCAGTAGACCCTTTTGTCCAGTCAGCCCCACCTGCAAAATGTTCACTGCAATGAGTCATTGGTCTGGTTCAAGGCCTCTGGCACACCATCATCACTAGGCCCTCGTTGAAAACTCCCTCTGATATCTCACTGTTGCCTGAGTCATGGATATTCCATTGCTAACATCCAGCAGGTCATAGATGGGGCAGATGTTAGGGTGGGCCAACCTAAGGCCCAGGATATGGGTCTGGGTGATAGCTGAGCTGGTCAGTCCAGGCCACTGGGACTGCCCCTTCAGGTGAGGGGTAGAGCCAGCTCTCCTAGCCCCATACCATCGGGGTCAGCTCTCCCACACCTGTGGTGAGGGTAAACCATCTCTCCTGAGTATGGGAATCAGCTCTTCCATGTGGGGGTTGGAGGGACAGCTCTCCTGCTGCAGTGTTCAGTAAGGGGCAGGGAAAGCTATCCCAGGGCCAGTGAGGGGTAGGGCTGGCTCAGCACGGCTTTCAGATTTCAACACACAAGGTTACTGTGACCCCTGTGGTAACATGAGCCATGAACATCAAACCAGACTTTGGTTGCTATTGGGCCAGGGACCCCAGACATGGCCGATGGCAGTAGCCCAGACCTGGACACCATGGTCACAGGTGGTAGTGCAGGCCACTCAGATCAACAAGGCCCCTGAAGCAGAGTGGTCCTCAGATACCAATATGGCCCTAGGTGGCTGCCCAGACCTCTGGCACCAGCATGGCCTTCAATGGTATCAGGAGCCACGGACATCAACTCAGATCCTACAGTAGGGCCACAGACCCAGATATGGCCCTCAGCACCAGTTCTGGCCTAGACAACACCAAGGGCAGCAGAGGCCATTCAGATTGGCATGGCCCTAGCAGTGACACGGTCCTCATGAGCCAACATGACCACAGGTGGTGGCCTAGATCCCAGGCATTATGTGGGCTTTGATGGCACCACAGGCTGCAGACATCAACATAGACCATGGCTGTGATAGGACCACAACATATAAATAATCTTAAAGTGGGGAGTGAATAAGAACCAAGGATAAGCTGGGTGGTGGTGGCACACGCCTTTAATCCCAGCACTCGGGAGGCAGAGGCAAGCAGATCTCTGTGAGTTCGAGGCCAGCCTGGTCTACAAAGCAAGTTCCAGGAAAGGCACAAAGCTACACAGAAAACAAGGATAATGACACATATATTTGGAACCTATATTACTTTGTACACTAACTTAAAAAATAAAAATAATCTTTAAAATAGGGGTGATAGTTTTATAAATAATTCATTATAACATTCCTTTATTAAAATGCAAAAAAATAGCAAAAAAGTCAATTAAATATTATGATATTACCTATTGGGTTCTTGGTTGCAGGAAGGAATCTATTGAAAAGATATTTAATTGCACATAAAACTGAAGAAATGGCTAAAGAAAGTGTAACTAAGGATAACTGTGCATCTGGGAATGCAGCCAGGATCACACCTTGGCCTCCTGGTTGCTCTCTGCCTTCTCAATAACACTCACTGCTTGTGTTGCTGTCTTCTGAGTGCACATTCCGGGGAGGAGTGTACAAATGATTGAGCCTTTCTCTGTTCCCTGGTGGCTCTTTTGACTTTCATGACTGGAGGGAACTTTGCTTCCACCCATCTTTGGAATCCTCCAAAGTAAGAAAGATTTGATGCATGTCAGGCACCAAAAATTTACAAATTTCACTAGGCATGGTGGCATACACCTTTAATCCCAGCACTGGTGGGGTGGGAGGGCAGAGTTGTTAGTTCAAGGCCAACCTGATCTATAAGACAAGTTCCAGGCTAGCCAGGGCTACATAGCGAGATTTTGCCTAAGAAAAAAATTGTAATTTTCCCATAAAGTCCATCTGTTTGACTTGCAAAGAGATATTAATTCTGTTTTCACTTTTAAAATAAATCAATGCTTCCACCATACCAAATATAGCCATGACACCCATCTTTGAGGAAAATCACAGTCTCATTGCTCATGGTGCTTTCATCTGACTTGTTTTCCAGAAGACCTCTGCCCCATTCATCTGTCTGTAACAATTGTCTAGCTGTAGTGCAACTTATTATCAACATTGTACAGTTAGTCACAAACAAACACTGGGACATATAAAATAGTTTGAGAGGAGAAACAAAATGAAATTAACAATACTTTATATTTAAAAACGAAAATACAAATAACATACTGACAAAGTTGTAGCTGTGTTTCTGTAACTTCTCAGCTCCTGCACTGATTAATGATCTCTTGTGATTATTTATTGATGTTCCTTAATCTATAGCAAGCATCAGGTGACCCAAAGCTTTCTTGAGGATTCTGAGCTTATGCATGTAGAGGCTACAGGTCAACCTCAGGTGTTGTTTCTTAGGAGCTGTTCGTCTTGGTTTTTTAGACAGGTTTTCTCATTAGGACCTGGAGCTTGTGATTAGGCTAGGCTGGCTGGCCAGTAGCCCTCGGGGATCCATCTTCACCTCCCCAGCCCTGGACTTACAAAGTTGCCACTACACCCAGTTTTTGTTTGTGGGTAATAAGGATCAAGCTCAATCCTCACGCATGCATGACAAACACTTTACTGACTAAACGATTGCCCCAAATCAGCCCAAATCCTGAGCTTCTTCAGGTCCTATGGACATACAGAATGCTCTGACAGTACAAGGATGGTCCAGGTTTCCTCCACACTGATGCCCTAAATATTAGAGATCTAGCTCCATTTGTAATAGAGCCAATAACTAATTTTATCATCTTCCTCTCCTTTTGCTTGTATAATCTTTAATGAAAGGACCTCCAAATAGCTGGGTATGTGTGTATGCAATGGGAAAAGTACAGTGTCATTAGTAAAAAAACATATTTCCTTAGAGACCAGAACACAAGTCACACAGCACAGGAAGAAAAACTTGGCTTATGTCACCTGGACATAATTGTGAACAGTGTCACCTGTCTTTCTGCTTTTGGTTTCATATCTGTGCATTTTGCCTACAGAATGTTCCATCAGTTTTCACTGCACAAAGCATGGATCTCCCCCTTATCCAGGAAAGAAAATTTGATACAAGTAGCCAATAAACCAACAAATCTCCAAGTGAGTAAATACGTAAAGAGCCTCACTATAGTATGGATCTGGAATATCTTGTGTTCTACCTTCCTTCTCTGTTGCTATGATAACACCATGACCAAAAGCGACTTGGGGAAGAAAAGGGTTATTTGGCTTATACTTCCAGGTAACAACTCATCACTGAGGGAAGTCAGGGAAGGAACTCAAGCAGGAGCAGAGGTGGGAAAAATAGTGGAATGCTGTTTATTGGCTTTTTCAGCTACCTTTCTTAAATATCCCAGGCTCTCCTACATCAATGAAGACAGTTCCCCACAGACCAGTACAATGGAGGCAATTCTTCAGTTGAGGTTCCCTCTCCCCAGGTAAGTCTAGTTTGTTTCCAAGGATGTGCTGTTGTGTGATGACACAAGGGTGCCCACAAGTCAATCTTGGTCCCCAACTATGACAATGTTAGGAGTTGGTGAAACCTTAACAAAGTGGGTTACAGTTGGAAAAGTTAAGTATAGGAATGCAAGTGGGACATGCTCTTGGAAAACATACTGAAACTCAAACTTTTCCTTATCTTTTTTCTTTGCATCCAGCTGCCATGGCTTCAACAGGCCACCACATCCCCAAAAGAACAGGGCAAAATGACCTTGTAAGTGAAAAGGGACTTTTCTTCCTTTTACATTATTGTCATCAGAGTAACAGAAAAATGACTAACATACACCTATTAACTGATATATTTCAATCCTCCTACAAAATAATTAACTTGTATTAATATGCATATATTTTCTTTGTCTCTATTGTAAATATTATAATAATCTTCTAATTTTGACAGAAAAAAAACTGGAGGTCTGATGGGACCAACACAGAGAAGTCTAGACAGATTCTAAGCTTCTTGGACCAGGGATGTATGAGATGTAGGAGCAGGATTACCAAGGACCAAGTAGCAGCCAGGCCTAAAGTCACTGAGACTGGCAGGTACAGTAATGGGGGTAGTTGTGGAATATTTGTTTAACTGTGCAAAGACATGTTGTATTTCTTTAACTATGTAGAGATATGTTACTGTTTTACCTTGCCTGCCTAAGGTACCTGATTGGATTACTGAAAAGCTCAATGGCCAATAGTGAGGGGAAGGTATAGGTGGGACTTCCAGGCAGGGAGAGTAAGTAGGAGGAGGAATTTAGGTTCAGGGGAAGAAAGAAAAACATGCCAGGGAGATGCCAGGGGCCAGCTAGCCAGATATGGAGGAAGTAGGAAAGTAGAACATACAGAATGAAAGAAAGGTAAAAAGCCCCAGGCAAAATGTAGATAAATAGGAATAGATTAAATTATGTTAAAAGAGTCAGTGGGACAAGCCTAAGCTAAGGAAGAGCATTCATAATTAATAAGAAGTCTCTATGTCTTTATTTGGAGCTGGTTAGTGGCCCAAAGAAAATTCCAACTACAGGGAGTAAGCAATGGGGTCATGGTGCTGGACATGAAGGTATGGAGGATGTCTGGTAAACTTGGGAGCTCACAGGCTATGTGTGGGCTGGTAAATATACAGGAACCCTGTTACCAGAGGCCAGATAAAAGTGTGGAATCCAGCTACTCACATCACAAACTCTACATAAAGATCAGGAAATGAGTTCTCCAAGAGACAGCCAAGCCACTCAGGAATTCTGCCTCCTGTAGGTTAGAAACCCACCAAGGCAAAGAGCAGCAAAGAGCTGGTCAGTGAGAACAACCAGGCAAAATCACTAAGGTGACACAATGACATAGAGGGAGACCAGGACCCATGAGTGGGGGATAGGAAGGGGGGTCATGGAACCTAGTACCTATCCTGCCCCTGTCCCAGCAGGAAGGAGAGGACACAGCTGGGACATTTTCATATATGGCAAGTTACAAAGATGTGAGCAGGGTGGTGGGACACTATTATGCTCCTGTAGCATCCCAGAGTCAGTATCAGGCACGGAGCATCAGAGAGAAGGGTTTGACTGAAAACTTTAAATAGCCTGTGATGGAAAGCCACTTACCAGGACATATGATCTTTGGTGAGTGAATGCAGCCAGGTGTGATAACTCAGCAGGGGTCCTTGGTGCATGATTACACAAGGGTCAGTCATGTCACTCTTGTTGAGGCTGTTATAGCCTGATCTTCCAGCACAGATCAGTCTTCCTAAGCAGAGAGCAGGACTGTGGAGAAAAGAGACTCAGTGACAGGTGGGTTAGCTCTCCCTTGGAGACTGCAGGCTTGTGCATGAGAAGAAAACACTTCCCACTCAAGCTGTGTGATTTGCTCTCTTTGCCAGTTGGAGCCGCATCTTCATGGGTATCTTTAGGACATTAGAGGCCTCCAGTCCTCTTTAGCCCATTGCGGAAGTCCTGTTTTCCCTGCTTCAGGGGGATGGGGACCAAGGGCCAGGCAAAATGTATAGATCATGCCCTCAACCTTGTGCATCTACATTTCCTTCAGCTGGAAAATGCTAACTTTCACATCTAGTCCCCTTCCCAAGGTGACTGAGCTAATTCATGTGATAGGCTTTGGGGAGAATGAAGGCTAGGAAATCCTCAGTCATCATGATTCTTACATTGTGTAACTCACACCCAGAGGAGTAGTCTCTCTGACGCTATTGTTCTTGTAGTCTATCTCTCTCTCTATCTCCCCAGTCTAATGAACCCGCCTCACAGAAAAAGCCCCAGAGAGCCCCAGCCACTACATTCAATAGCTCAACTAACTAGAGCCTCTAACCCTCTCCATTGTCAGCTGGCTGATGTGCCTTATCTGGCTAAGCAGATAGTAAGTTCCAGGGCCACTCAGGGCATGTGTTCAGTCACGTTTTCTTTGTCCCCCATAGAAGTTAGCCCAGCACAGAGCACTTTAAAGCAATGTTAATCACTTAGAGAAACTGACCAAAAAAATTGATGCAACCCAGGCAGTCCTCAGACCATCAATGAACAAAATATGTTCAATTGTCACAAGAAACTGGTTCATCACATGATCCAGGCCTCTAAAAGTTTACACTGAGAACTATTAAGATCTTTATCTCAGCATTCAGAGTGTGTCAAATGGAACCGGATATACACTTATGACAAAAAATGTCCCCATCTCAATAACTAGAATTCCTTACAACAAAATTCTTAAACTGTTTGCATTCATGACTCTTTGTGTCAGAATTTTTATACAACCCTAGGAATATAGGTCCATGAAATAGTTATAAAAATTAAACATTTACTGATAGTAAATCTTTAAAAAATTCATATTAAAAATTCTGTCATATACATATAATTTTACTATTTATTACAGAAAATAATCAGATTTATACTAACAAGATACTATTTCTTTTTGCATAAAGAATTATATGGGAGCTCAACGGATGGTTCAGTGGTTAAAGCACTTGTCACTCAACCTTGACAGACTGAGTTTGGATCTGCAGAACCCACATAGAAATCTAACCATTGTAATGCAGGCATCTACAAGCCCAGCACACCCCTGTCATGAGATGAGAGACAAAGACAGGAGAGTTGCTGGAAGCTCCTGGCTCAGCTAGCCTGGTGCACACAGCAATGAACAAGAAAGACCATGTCTCAAACAAGATGGAAGGCAGGTTGTCCTCTGCTCTCTGCATATGCACTGTGGCAAACATATGCCACAGACACTTACACACACACACATTTACAAGGAAAATGCTGAATGCTGGCTGAACATTTGCTACTACAGGATGGAGGGAATCATCAACATTTTTTAGCGTTGATCAATATTTTTATTTATAATCATCAATGTTGAAAATAATCATTTTTCACAAATTCATAGTACAAAATGGCAGATGTGTAATTAGAAACATTGCAAAAATTATTACAAATTCTGTCCTAATCCTCAAGTCAAAATTCATTTAAAGATGCTCTGTGAAATTCAAGGCAGCAAATCAAACAGCAGCTGTTAAAATCAAACATTCTAAGAAATACAATTCAAATTTGAACAAATCGTTACTCACATGCTGAAGAATGAGGAAGAAAAATGGCAAAGGTCTTTATTTCTATAATTAAACCATTATGTTTCTTTAAAGATGGAAGACTAGCCGGGCGGTGGTGGCGCACGCCTTTAATCCCAGCACTCGGGAGGCAGAGCCAGGCGGATCTCTGTGAGTTCGAGGCCAGCCTGGGCTACCAAGTGAGTCCCAGGAAAGGCGCAAAGCTCCACAGAGAAACCCTGTCTCGAAAAAACAAAAAAACAAAAAAAAACAAAACAAAACAAATAAAGATGGAAGACTTATGTATGAGGCTGTGGAGGAGGTCAGCCTGTAAAGCTGCCAAGCCTGACTACCTGAGTTGGATCCCTGGTTCCCACACAGTAGCAAAAGAGAACTGAATCATGAAAACTGTCTTTTGACCTCCACATGTACTGTGGAGGTATGCTGTGTCGTGCATGTGAATATGTACACATATGAATAAATGTGAGGAAAATATGTACATATAGTAAAAAAACAAAACAAAACAAAAAACATTGCAATTTGAGATGCACATCAATCTGAAATCTGTCAAGGTGTTCAAGGGATCATTTCTTGGCCTTGCAGAGTGTGACGAAGTGCAGTAAAACTGCACATGCTGCATGTTCAGAACAAAGCCTGCAGTGATGACAACATTCAGTTACATGACTTACATGGGGTTGAAACCCACAATTTAAGAAGCTATGCTTTACAGGAGCCATTAAAAATCTTCTCTTCTAGGGCTCAGAATATAGCTCATTGTTAGAACACTTCCCTAGCACCAGCCTTAGGTTCAGCTCCCAGCATTGCAAAAATAAATAGAAGATGGATAGATAGATAGATAGATAGATAGATAGATAGATAGATAGATAGATAGATAAAATTTGACAATATCCTTTCTCTTGGGGCTGAGGATATGACTCAGTACACTTGCAAGTCCTAGGCTCAATACACACATATATAATACATATACTATACACATATACTATACACAGCACAATGATGATGATGATGGTGTTGATATAATAACTATAGTAGTTTTTTTTTAATTCTTTCCTCTAGTTTCCCAACCAAGTACACACAACTCCTCACTCTTGCTCCCAGATCTAGCCTCTTCCCTTAGCACCGAGTCATCCTTCACAGCTCCCTATGTTAAGTTAAACACTGTTGCTATTTTCCAGCTCACTTGACCATAAATTAGGGTGAGTTGTCCCTGAGGAAGGTCATGGCCTCAGACAGGCACCAGCTGTACTTCCTGGGTTGAGTTTATTTAGCTGAAAGGATGGAGAGCTTTTCCTTTCCATTCCAGCAGCTTCCATTCAAAAACAGATTGCCCCATGCGGCTAAGAGAAAATTAAAGAACATATCTAAAGACATTTATAAAGATAAAGGCTTATATTTACATGTACTTGTAAGATTTTCTTAAAGCTACTAATTTCTTTATATAAATGACCAATGTTGTAAGTTAAGTATTTTGAACATGTGATGAATTTCACAGAAAGTAATTATATTTTAATTTTATTTGTGTGTGTGTGTGTGTGTGTGTGTGTGTGTGTGTGTGTGTGTGTGTGTGTGTGTTTACCCACAGAGGTCAGAAGAGGATGTTGAATACCCTGGTACTGGAGTTAGAAGTGTTTGTGAGACACCTGACACGGGAGCTAGGAACCAAACTCAGGTCCTCTGAAGAGCAGTAGCAAGCACTCTTTACAGCTGAGTCATCTCTCCAGCTCCCATACTTGATAAAGTAGTTCTCAAAAAAGAGAAATAGCACACAAGCTAACCAACTAGAAAGGTTTTATCTTTGAAATATAACTGAATAAAATTGTATGATCTTTTGAGATCAGTATGTCTTTAGAGAATAGGCAACTGAGCAAAGGTACATATAGTTTTAAGTTATTAAACACATTTGATGAAATTATTTTAAGATTCCTCAAAACACTCCACGCAGTTTTTAAAAATGGGCTTCCACTTAAAATAACAAAGACAGCAAAATTATCAAGTGTTATGTTACAGAATGTATTGCTTCAATAAAATCTATTTGATTATGCAGGAAAACTATACACACACATTTACACACACATAATTACTAAAAGAAATACTTGTTTAAACCAGTGGCTCTGGCTGGGCAAGGTGACACATGCCTTTAATCCCAGCACTTGGGAGGCAGAGGTAGGGGGGAATCTCTGTGAGTTTGAGGACAGCATAATCTACAAATCGAATTCCAGGACACCCAGAGCTACATAAAGCAACCCTGTCTTGAAAAACAAACAAACAAACAAACAAATAGAAAAGAACAGTAGCTATGTATCATATACCACAAATCTCTAGGACTTTCTAAAAACCCAAACAGAAATCCAGATTATGACTCTATGAAAGAATCTAACTCTTGAGTCTCAGTTTATTGAGCCAACTAAGAGTATCTCTTTCTTGTGAACTCTCTGGAAAGAATTAGAAATAGAAGTTACATGGAGCCTGTAAATCTGACAACCAAGCCAGTGTTTGGGAATTCCTAAGATTTGTGCCATGGGAAAAACTCAAAGTTTGGGAAAGCTGTATAAACATTCTGTATCGAGAGATAAACAGACGAGGATCTTTATGATGTCCAGGTTCAGTTTTGTGTCAGTCTTGCTGCACTGTGACTCGTTTAAAGACGGCAAAGCATGAATGGAAAAGTTGGAGTAGTCAGGATTAAGAATACAGTTGCTTTCACTGGAAACAGGAAATTAACATTTCTCATAAGTCAGTATTAGAATATCAATCTCTTTAGATATAATTGATATAAGTTTGGGGATTTTGTGTGTATATATGTTTTGTCATGTTGGGGATTAAGCTCAAGGTCTCATGTATGTCAAGCAAGTGCTCTACTATTGAGTTACACCCTAGCCCCAGATATTTAGAATAATCATCATTCTTTTTCAAATCATTTTGACTGCATTCTTCCACTGTTCAGATGGCTAAAGAGCAAATATATAGAAATATATAGATGTTTCTAAACTTTATTTCCTTAAAAAAATAGAAAACCTATTAACCCCCTTTGGGGAGCAATACTATGTGAAAGATTTGAATATTTACATTAACACATTTAGTGGAGCAGGAGAAAAACCTGTCTCTGCTCTAAACAAAACTTTCTATATTTTGACTGTGTTGGGAGCAAAAAGGTAGATATGCATAGTTAGTATAACAAAAGTTGTATTTTATTATATTGAGGGTCATCACACAAGGTTCACACTCTAAATTCCTAACTAATGTCCTAAGCCTATCTCCCTAAGGCTGCTCACCTGTGTGAGGTACTTAGCTGAAGGTCAGGTTTAGTCTCTAGCAGAAGTCTCTAATGGGAGGGGTCAGGATCACAGGGGAGATTCTCCAGTTATAGGGCAGATCAAGGTGGCATGTCTCCAGATATGCAGAGCAAAGCATTGTTCTTGGTCTCTGCTTATGTATATTGTCCAATGGGCGTCATGGGGTTTTAGGACTGTGTCTGGTTATCTTGAGTGAGTGATGTCATTGGGATCTGGTTATCAGGTGCAGCCTTGGGTGTAGTAGAGTTCCTAAGCTGTTTTTACACACTTAGAAGGCATTTTTTACTATGTCCATTAGACTGGAATATAAGAATGAAGGAATTTGGTTATCAAAAATCAATCATAGCTACTTTTAACATTTTATTCAAACCAAAACAGACCATAACACTCCATATTCAAACTCAAATTTTTATTAAAAAGTACTAGCATTTTTAAGAGAACATTAGAAAGCTTGATTTCTTCATTTAGGTTTTTTGGATTTTTCGTTTTGTTTTGGTTTGGTTTGGTTGTTTGTTTTTTGAGACAGGGTTTCTCTGTGGAGCCATGGCTGTCCTGGAACTCACTCTGTAGACCAGGCTGGTCTTGAACTCATAGAGATCCCTTTGCCTATGCCTCCCAAGTGCTAGAATTAAAGTCATGTGCCACCACCACCCAGCAAGGTTTTGTTTGTTTCTTTTAATTATTATGAGTCTATGTTTGCATATGCTACCTGTATGTGGGTACCTGTGGAGGCCAAAGGAAAGCAATCAGATCCCCCAGAGTTACATTTAATACTGGGAACAGAACTTGGGCCTTTTGGAAGAGCAGTAAGTACTCTTAACTCCTCCAAATGTATGGAAGCTTGAATGTAATTGGCCCCCATGCTCATAAGGAGTGACACTATTAGGAGATATGACCTTGTTAGAATAGGTGTGACCTTTTGAGGAAGTATGTCACTAAGGGGGTGGGCTTTGAGGTCTCCAATGCTCAAGCTGTGCTCAGTGTGGCAAACCATTTCCTGTTGCTTATGTGTCAAGATGTAGGACTCTCAGCATCTTTCTCCAGCACTATGATGATAATGAATTAAACCTCTGAAAAATGTAACCCACCCCAATTAGATGTTTTCCTTTATAAGAGTTGCTGTGATCATGGTGTCTCTTCACAGCAATAGAAACCCTAATTAAGACACCATAAGTGGTTTTTTACTCCATTATGAATTAAGGATTTTCTACTATTAGAAACTATTTCTCCTCTTAAAGAAACAGGTCCTATATGTCTAGGCAACTGTTGAATATCTTATTACTTAGTTATTTTATATGAGCCCCCAGGGAGAGACATTTTGTATTATTTCCAGTTTTTCTGTACTGAAATAATACTGTAGGCATAGTCTGGTGCATTTTCCTATCAGATCCGGAGTATTTTAAATTAATATGTATTTCAGATTGCCTTCCAGAGAAGCATAGTTTAATCTTGTCAATAACTGTTTACACTATTGTCCTTATGAACCTCGTTGCAGATAAAGCAGCTAATATCTGGGGATGTTAACTTACCATTGAACTGCCACCACTTGAGCTCCAACATGACTAGTTGGGTAACTTCTTAGTAGCCTTCACAGAGATTATACTCTCTTCGTTATAGTACCAAGCAGTCACTGTACAAATTTATGTTGAATTCATAGTTTAAACATTAGTATTCCATGTATCTAAATCAGAGTAGAGCAAAATAATTGTCATTTGTATATCCTACTACAAAAAGTGAATGTGCTCTGTGCATTTAAAAGTGTTCATGTGTATTGCCATGATGAATTCTGGTGAAAGACTCATCTGTCAATGACTTCTCCAAATGCTCAATGGGTATTTAGTTCCTTATCCTGAATGCTCTCAACAATTACCTGATAAGCATCTGTCAGGACCTCATATATGCTGGCTATTCTAATATGTTCCCATGGCACTTAAAATATAACACACAGAAAAACCGTATCCATACCATACTTGTTAAGTTAGCAGACACTCACTGCACACAGTGTACTGTGCTCTGTGCTAGTGCCGGGGACATAACAGTGAGTAGCAGAGGTTAAGAGGCCTGGATTTACAGCTCATTTGTTCTAAAACTGTTCAGAAAGTTTCTCTCCAATTAGCATGTGACCAAGTCCTTTCTATGCCTGGGGTAGGATTGAGAAGGTTCCACATGTGAAGAGCCATCAGTGCTAAGCTGGCTGTGGAATAAGGAAAAACTGGCTTGGAAAGAAAGAAGATATTTTAAATGAAAAGAATTAGGGGAATCAAAAGCAGGGTTCTAGTTTTGCAAGCGGTGAATACTACTTGCAGATGATTGAGCTAGAGCTGGGTGGGAAGGGAGGCTGATAGACAGGAAATGTATCAGATTTCAAAGACCTGCATGCTGATAAAGGAGTCTAAACTTTGTACTGTTTCACTGATAAGAAAACTGAGGAACATGGATGTGAGGGCACTTCTCACTAATGACTGATGCATTTGAATTTCATGGGCCTTTGGATTTTTGTTTCAGAGAAAGAACTGCAGCTTAGTACTTCAGCCCACTTTCTTCAATGTATGACAAATATTCTACTTCAAAACAAACTTTGTTGTTAAAATTTTTCTTTGACTACCAGTTCAGACAAATACATTCTCCTTGCTTAAAAACAAAAATACTGAATCAGAAGAGCAGGTGAGGGACCTGCCTGCCAGCTAAACTGCCCCACTCTCTAGATTAGGTCCCCAAAGACCCATTCCACTGCCCTCACTCCACCTCACTGTCCACCTGGCTGCCAAGCCCCTGCCCTCAACTCAGGCAGCCTTACCCTGCTCAAGTGCAGACCACACCAGTCAGAAGAATAGGTGCATGTCAAGCAACCAAAGAAAAACAAAAAACAAAAAAACAGAAAGGTGAACTCATGCAGAGACTCCCTGTAGGACCAGAGACCACATCTGTCACCAGAACCACAGATAGACAGCCCACCAGCAGACCCCCTCCAATCAGTACCCACAATTCCTACTTCCCTCCTCATCACTATATCTCACCCCCAACTCAGGCAGAGAACTCCTGCTACACCAAAGGCCAAGCTAGCTGCCAGAAGTTCAGCCCCAACTTGGACAGAGACTCCCTACTGGATCAGAGGTCACACCAGCCTCCAGAAATCCAGACCATAAACCAAAAGACTGAAGAGGAAACAGAAACTAAGAAACAAAACAGCCATCCAACAAAGACAAACTCAAAAATCAGTACCTACAGCTGTAATCAATCCAAACCCAGATGCCTAAATGCCAATGTAAGAACACAATCAACAACAGTCAGGGCAATGTGGCAGCACCAGAGCCCATCGATCCTATGACAGCAAGACCTGAGTATTCCAAAGCAGCTGAAGCACAACAAAAAATCTTAAAAACAACTTTATTAAGATGATAAAGGTCCTTAAAGAGGAAATGAAAAAAAAACTTAAAGAAATTTAGGAAAGGACAATCAAAAAATTAGAGGAAATCAATAAATCCCTTAAAGAATGCCAAGAAAGCCAAGAGAAAACAAATACACAGGCAAAGGAAACTGTTCAAGACCTGAAAATGGAAATAAAAGCAATAAAGAAAACACAAACTGAGAGAATTCTGGAAATGGAAAAAGTCTAAATAAGCAAACAAGAATGATAGATGCAAGCATCACCAACAGAATACAAGAGCTGGACAAGAGACTCTTATGCATTGAAGATATGATAGAAGAAATAGATTCATCTGTCAAAGAAAATGTTAAATCTAAAAAATTCCTAACACAAAACATCTAGGCAATCTGGGACACTATTAAAAGACCAAACCTAAGAATGATAACAATAGAAGAAGAAGAACAATCCCAGCTCAAAAACCCAGAAAATATTTTTAACAAAATCATGGAAAAAAATGTCCCTAACCTAAAGAAGGACATGCCTATGAAGGTACAAGAAACTTACAGAACACCAAATAGATTGGACCAGAAAAGAAAGTCCCCTTGTTACATAACACTAAACACACAGAACAGAGAAAGAATATTTAAAGTAGCAAGGGAAAAAAGCCAAGTAACATATAAAGGCAGACCTAGAAGAATTACACCTGACTTCTCAGGGGAGACTCAAAAAGCCGGAAGGGCCTGGATAGACGTCCTGCAGACTCTAAGAGACCACAGATGCCAGCCCAGACTGCTATACCTAGCAAAATTTTCAATCACCATAGATGGAGAAAACAAGATATTTCATGACAAAGTCAAATTTAAACAATATCCATCTATAAATCCAGCCCTACAGAAGATACCAGAAGGAAACTCCATCCCAAGGAGCTTAACTACATCCATGAAAACACAGGAAGTAAATAATCCCACATCAACAAAACCCAAAGAAGGGAAACACACACACACACACACACACACACACACACACACACACAAAACCACCCCTAACAACAACAACTAAATAATTGGAATTAACAATCATTGGTCATTAATATCTCTCAATATCAATGGTCTCGATTCCCCAATAAAAAGACACAGGGTAACAGAATGGGTACAAAAACAAGACCCATCCTTTTGCTGCATAAAAGAAACACACTTCAATATCCAAGATAGACATTACTTCAGAGTAAAGAACTGGAAAAAGACATTTCAAGCAAATGAACAAGCAAGCTGGTATAGCTATTCTAATAGCTAAGAGAATAGATATTAAACCAAAATTAATCAAAAAAGATGGGGAAAGACATTTCATACTCATCAAGGAAAACATCCGCCAAGATGATGTTTCAGTTCTTAACATCTATGCCTCAAATGCAAGGGCACCCACATTTGTAAAAGAAACATTACTAAAGCTTAAATCACCCATCGAACCTCACACATTAATAGTGGGAGACTTCAATATCCCAATCTCACCATTGGACAAGTCATCCAGACAAAAACCAAACAGAGAAATAATAGACCTAACAGACATTATGAATGAAATGGACTTAATAGATATCTACAGAACATTTCACCTAAACACAAAAGAATATACCTTCTTCTCAGTACCTCATGAAACATTTTCCAAAACTGACCACATATTCAGTCACAAAGCAAGTCTCAACAAATACAAGAAAATTGAAATAACCCCCTACATCCTATCAGACCACCATGGATTAAAGCTGAATTTCAACAACAACAGAAAGTCTACAAACTCATGGAAACTGAATATCTTTCTACTGAATGACCACTGGGACAAGGAAGAAATAAAGAAAGAAATTAAAGACATCCTAGAATCCAATGAAAATAAATGCACAACATACCCAAACTTATGGGGACACAATGAAAGCAGTGCTAAGAGGAAAGTTCATAGTGTTAAGTGCCTCCACAAAGAATTTGGAGATTTCCTACTAGCAACTTAACAGCACATCTGAAATCTCTAGAACCAAAAAAAGCAAACTCATTTTGGAAGAACAGACAGCAGGAAATAATCAAACTGAGGCTGAAACCAATGAACAAAGAGAACAGCACAGAGCAATGAAACACAAAGTTGGTTCTTTGAAAAAAAATCGATAAGATAGACAAACCCTTATCCAAACTAACTAAAAGATAGTGAGAGAATATCAAAATTAACAAAATCAGAAATGAAAAGGGGGACATAACAGACACCATGGAAATCCAAAAATCATTAGGTCATACTTCAAAAACCTGTACTCCACAAAATTGGAAAATCTAAAAGAAATGGGCAATTTTCTTGATAGGTACCACTTACCAAAGTTAAATCAGAATCAGATCAAGAATTTAAATAGACCTATAACCCCTAAGGATATAGAAGCAGTCATTAAAAATCTCCCAACCAAAAGAATGCCCAGGGCCAGACGGTTTGATTGCAGAATTCTACTAGACTTTCAACAAAGAGCTAATATCAATACTCTTCAAATTAATGCACAAAACAGAAACAGAAGGAGCATTCCCAAATTCACTTTATAATGCTACAGTCACCCTGATACTTAAACCACACAAATATTCAACAAAGAAAGAATTATAGACCACTTTCCCTCACGAACATTAAAGCAAAAATACTCAATAAAATACTCAAAAACTGAATCCAAGAACACATCAAAAAGACCAGTCACCATGATCAACTAGGCTTCATCCTAGAGATTCAGAAATGTTTCAACATATAAAAATCTGGCAATGTAATCCATCATATAAACAATCTGAAAGGGAAAAAAAACATACCATCTCAGTAGATACCAGAAAAAAACTTTGACAAAATCCAATACTCCTTCAGGATAAAAGTCTTGGGGATCAGGGATACAAGGAACATACCTAACATAATAAAGGCAATTTACACCAAGCCAACAGCCAACATCAAATTAAGATAAACTCAAAGCAATTCCACTAAAATCATGAATAAGACAAGGCTGTCCACTCTCTCCATATCTATTCAGTATAGTACTTGAAATTCTATCTAGAGCAGTAAGACAACTGAAGGAGACCAAGGGGATCCAAATTGCAAAGGAAGAAGTCAAAGTATTGCTATTTGCAGATGATATAATAGTATATATAGGTAACCCCAAAAATTCTACCAGGGAACTCCTACAACTGATAAACACCTTCAGCAAAATGACTAGATACAAGATTAAATAAAAAAAAATCAGTATCTCTCCTTTATACAAATGAAATATGGGCTGAGAAAGAAATCAGGGAAACAATACCCTTCATAATAGCCACAAA